TTATAAACGAATAGAATATATGACAATGATTAGTGGTGATTGTTTTTAATGATATTATTTCAATATAATATGATTAAAACTAATTTTTTTATAGAGTTAGTCATCTGTTATAATACTGTTTTTTAATGGTGAAAATTGATGAATGAACAAGGTTATGAATTACTCTTTTACCCTGAATACTCTCAAATTCTGGGGTTTAAAAAAACGAATAAGGTAACATTAATTACCTCATTGAAAAACTGTAAATAATGAATAAGGTTGCCATTGCTTGACTTATTGAAAATGAAAAAAATGTAAAAAAATATATTAAAAACAACACAGGCGAGCAAATACTGAACAAATGATAAAACAAATAAGTCAAACAACTCCCTAGAAATGTTAGGAGAAAATATTAAAAAATGTGAAAAAACAAAGCAACCGGCCACCCCCAGACGCCCCCTATTACTAATTTTTTGGGGGGGAGGGGGTGGGGGGGAGGGGGTGGGGGGGAGGGGGTGGGGTGGGTTCCCTTTGGGTCTGGTGGAACGTGCAGTGTTTGTTTCGGCCAAATTTAGATCATTTTTCCAAAACCTGAAATCAGATATGGATCCAGGGGAAGGACCTGCATGGCTCTTTGCTGGTAACCCTGAGTGAAAAGAGCTCGCCACAAAAAAGGAGCCCTCGCAGGTTTCTCCCAGCCCGCGTGCGAGCTACCAGTGGACCAGCCGCACAGGTGTTCACCGGGGAGACAAGTGGAAGTGGTGAGTGCTTCGATCGAGGCTCCCCGATTTCCTCCGGTTCCTCCAAACATCACCAAGTGAGAGGTGAAATCAACAAAAAGGGACGTATGAAGGTGTGTCTTGTTTTGAGGTTGCCCTTGGGCAAGTTGGGCTAAGCCCCGCGAAGCGTAGGCACCCGAGCCCCGCAGAAGCATTGAAAGTATTTCTGGGTTCCATGGAAATTCCCCCGACGGCAAACACCAAACACAAATTTGGTGAAGCCGCTGGGCAATCCAGACAACACGGCTTGCCCAAAACTCGTCTCCATGAAATTGTGTGTTAACCCAACTCAGTTGACATCCCGTGGTTCGACCTCTTGCTAAAGTGAACTTCGTTTGGGAAGATATGTAACTCCAACTCTAAGCTCTACAAGCCGAACACTATGAGCAGGAAACAACTTGGAAACCCCGAAGTCAGCCATGGTTTGTGATGTTATTACTTGGGAACCGCCAAGATTCATCACCCGCACTCTATTTGCTCAAATCCCCAGGAACAAATGAGAAAAGATGTCCAGTAGGGAAATTGATTCTCTCTAAAGCCAACAGGGGACGGAAAAAAAAAAAAAAAAAAAAAACACATTTCAGCAACAGGGATCCTTACATTATACACCTGAACATTGCAACTTGTAAATGGTGATGTCCCTTTGTTTTGGTGGAAAAAGCCACATTTCAAATGGTTGCAACATGTTTTTCTTTTAAGGAGCCCTGGGCAAATGGACGCATTTTGTTGTCACTTTCCGTGGGGAGAAAAATTCGGACACCCAAGCACTAAACCAACATAAAAGCCTACCCAAAGGAACCGGCCGGCTGGGAGCCGGCAAGAACTCGCAAGCCAAGGATGAGTGCTGCAGAGCTTCCGCGTCCATGACGTCGAACAACCTGGGATCAAAGAAAAACCACGCCCCGTCCAGTGTCAAGCCCTACCCCAGTGAAACCCCGGTGATGAGTGAAATGAGCCAAGAGAAGTGTCTCTTTCGAGGCTCTTCTTCCCCTTTTTTGGGGTCTTAAACGGTCACTCTCTGTGAGAGCAAATTGTGGCAACTTGATTTCCTGTGGCCTTTGCGAGCAAGGGACACCAAAGGAAATGTCACTTTTGGAGGTCGCTGCCTATTGTCCCACCCGCGAGTTTGTCGCAATAGGCTTCTTCCATTTCAGCTTCCCTCTAGTTGGTGGTTTTTTTAGCCCGGTGGTTTGGCTAAGGGGCAGCTTTCCATCCACAAGACTCAGTTCACATCTCGCCGATCCAAACCAAGTGAGACCTGCAAAAGGGATCTTTCGCCTTGAATTTCATGCGTATGTCTAGTCCTGGGATGGGTGTGGGTCAAAATTAAACCACCAGGAATTGGACCGCAGGTTCTAGTCCATGTTTCCACTTACCAGGGTTCCATTTTGGCTACCTATTTTTGACCCACAGCCAGATCGATTCCCTTGAAAAGCCAAAAATAAGTGGCAAAAAATGCATTTCGGCAAAAGGAGGGGCGTTTGCCTACTGCGAAGTGGAATTTGTCCATCTGCAGGAGCTCCTACCATTCTATCCAAGTTCGGCGCACAGAAAGAAGAGAAACTCGAACAAGCCCATCTACACACTTGGCACACTTTGGACACTCCGCGCTTTGTGCTGCGGTCGTGCAACTGCAAGATGGCCCAAGCTGAACATAACCGACTTGCATTATCCATCTCTAGCAAATAGCTTTGGGAATAAGGCTAGCCCTTTCTTCGAGACATGGCAACTCAGGGCAACAGGGGTGTTCAAACTCGGCAACGAGTTTGCAAAACAGGGATCCTTACATTATACGCCTGAACATTGCCTTGTAAATGGTGGTTTCCCTTTGTTTTGGTGGGAAAAGCCACATGTTTCAAATGGTTGCAACATGCTTTTCTTTTAAGGAGCCCTGCAAAACACAGACACAAACAAGCACAAAGCCCCACAAAGACAAGAGCGAGGGCAAGCTGGCAAGCTCAAGGCTCTCAGGCCATTCCGGATTCGCGGTGTTCTACAACACTGCTTTCTTCCACTTCCAAATCCTCCATTTGCGTTGTCCCCTGGAAAAAATGAGAAAATGCCCAGTAGTCATAGACAAGCGTGCGGGAGACTAGCAGTCAGCCAGGCTACGTGGACTTGTTGTGGATGTCGATTTCTGCATCCTCCAAAACGTGCTCGAAGTGCGGATCATCCAGCCAAGCCTTGGCAAACCAATCTGGAAAGACTTCTGTTGAGAAAACCGAAGGTCCCACTCTGTATGGTGTTGATATACTTCCCTGTGCGGGAGGTATTGATGTCCATCCCCCCCTGACACGAAAGAATAATTGCCGCAAACACTTGACAAATCAGATCCTCAATCCGACCAAAGCTGCATGCCACATCATGTGCAAAGCGACTGCTCTAGCTGCAATGGTTTGCTCCATGTTTGGTTAAACCAGCCCGGAGGGTTGGGTCCCTTGGTAAGGAGGGACTGAACGACCCCTTACCCTTCAACAAGCCATCCTCAGGATCTACTTGATTTGACCCTCTGGGCAGGAATGACCTTCCACTGGCTGCTTCCTTCGGCCTCAAGTTGCCAGATGAACACAGGCATGCGAAATACTTGTCTATGTATACCTGCAAGTGTTGTGCACAAATAGATATTCCTTCTAACAGCTTTGCAGGTTCATGATCTTAATATGCTATCGCTTGACAATGAAATTGCATCGAATTGTGAATGACCATGCCTGAGGTGATCGAGGCCCGGGCATGGAAGGAATCCCGGCTGATCACCTGGGCTCCGGAGCTTGGATTGGCAAAATCTGAGTGCAGGCTTTCCGGAATGTGCATCTAGGTCCTCGAGATTTGAGAGGTTAGAATAAGTTGGTACCCCACTTCTTTTGGTTTTGTCTATTTTAGTAGGGTCCCGAACCCTCCCCCAAAAAAAGTTGGGTGAGAAAGGGCACTACTGGAGGACCTAGACATGAGGCTTTCCCGCCATGAAACACAAATCGTAGATCTTAAGGTGTGTGCGTGTCAGTAACAGGACCAAATAGAGCTGAACCGCCCAACTCTCTCTTTTTTCCTAAGGCACAGGACTTGCTCAAATGAGAAGATGAAAGGCTGCGCGCCGCGCGTCGCGCAACTTTTCCTTCCACAGATTTGGTGATGTGGTTTGACCCGTGGGCCGAGGCTCTTCGTCTCAAAGAGCCAAGTTCTTTGCATTGATTGGCGCTTTGCCCCTCGAGCCTGCCGAGCTAACAGCCCGAAGCATTCGCATGCCGCCTTCTATTCGATGCGCCGGCGAAGGCTAGCCCTGGTCCAGGCTCAAGGAACGAAAAGCCAACGTTAGCCGCAGCGAGCGACAGGCCACTACGGGCCCAAAAAGTTGCGGCAGCCACCTTTGAATGCTGACAGAGAGAGACCCTCGTAATAGGATGATGTCTTATCTGCGCATGTCGAATGGCCCTTTGCCACCCTCCATTTGCTTAAGTCCCCTGGAAAAATATTTCCAGTGGCGCTAGATTCCCTTTAAAACCAGCAGGGGAAAATAACACATAGCCTTAACCAAATGGAAGCCAACTCACTGGAAGCCTGGACCAAACTCGTTGGCTTGCAAAGACTCGCTTGTTCATCATTCTAAGGGTTGATTCCTTTTCCATTCTTTCCAAGTATCGTTCTTTTCGAAAACCGGATCCGTTTCCCTGGATTTCCGGAGGTTTTCTAGAAAGATCCGGATCCCTGAAAAGAATGGAAATGGAAGGTAGCACTAGAATCATCCACTGGATGAAAACAAAAATACTCGGGTTCCCCATGGGTCGCACTGGCAACACATAGGTGGCAAGCCGCTCGAATTCAGATCTTCCTTACAGCTGGTCTGTTCGGGTGCACAGGTCGCAGGAACTAAATTCAGCCTGCATGCTGCAGGTCATCATCATTGGCGTCCTTCCGGAAAAATGGATGGCCCTGGTAAATGAAGTACAACCAATCTAAACCAGCGCCATCTAATTTTAACCAGACTAACCAATTAAAAGGACCCCTATGATCACCATCTTGCCTCTCATTCGGCAAGACACTCCGAATTCTGCCGACCGCTGGGATGCGGGTCTCTAGACTTTGGCCATGCGCCTTGCAGGCGCGTGTGAGGCTCATGCACATGGATTGGCCTGAAGTGGGAAGCAGGCGCCACAAAAGACTCCGCAGCAGAATCGGGGGGGGGTCTCTATGGAAGATGAACCCCCGGATTCCGCGGGTTCTGCAATGCCGCGGATTCCACGACTCTCAGACTGCGGTGCCTTCTTTGCTGACGGAGCTATCGCTGCGCTCCAGGACACGGCTGTGCTGGCGGTAGAAGTTGTCGAAATCCGCCTCCACTTCGTGCAGGGCCTCGATCATGTGCCCCATCTCCTGGCAAAAGGCGCTGGGGGTCCTCCCTAGGTGTGTGTCTCAGAACAGGGGGCACCCCCTAACATGGGTCATGCTCACCCTTGGTGTCCCTTACCAACGCCAAAAAGGGTAGCCTCAAAAAAAGACAAGGCAGGTGCATTTCTTCTTTTCTAAAGACCCATATTCAGTGCCTTGCTGTCTTCACGCCTCAGCCTGGAACATACAAGAGTTGTCTCCAAGTATGGGAACCCAAAATGGGTGGGTGTCCCATAAGGCTTCCCTGGAAAGAAACCAAACCAAAAAAGGGGCACCCTCGAACAAAATGACACCCGTACCACACCGCACCGTGTGGAAGGGATACCAGTGTCAAACGGAAATGCTTTGTTTTGCGGACGCATCCAAATCCCGCTGAGACCTGATTTGTGGAATCCAACCGCACCAATTCCCAAAGGATGCCCGAAGATCAAAGTGGCATCTTTCACTGTATCCTGCCATTCAGAAAGGGTGTCCGAAATGGTGTGCGTGATGTGACGACGTAACTGTCCCAGTGATTCCATCTCTCTGCATACCCTTTGGTGGACATCATTTAGGCGTCCACCAACCACTTTTGAGGTGCTGCCCTAAAATCCATAGCGACATGAGCACGGACCAAGTCTCACGAAGCCCGGCGGAATCGACTGAATCGACTCCTCGTCCAACTCCACCACCAGGCTCTCGTCGTTGCCAGTTTCCAGGCTATGCAGCCGCGAGCCCATGTGGGCAATGGCCTCCTGGGCCTCTTTGAGGTCTGCTTCGAACCGGTCCTTCTCCAGCTTCTTGATGTAGTCCTTCGCACTTCTTGCAAAGAAAACAGCCGAGACTGTCATTCCTTTGTGGGGTTGGACAGAAGCTATCATTCCGGAAGTATGTCCCGTCTTTTCAAAGACAGAACACGCACAGTTCAGGTGACCCTACATGGCTGCAACAAATGGGTTCAATCACACATGTGCCCCCTTTTGGGGCAAGCATTGGTTAGAACCTGCTACAGTGATCCACTATAGTAGCTACCTGGCCATTTTCCTTTGAGTCTTTAAAGGGTGGTTCCCATGGCTACTTGCACCTGGAACAAAGACACGCGGGCCCGAAAAAAGGAATCTCCAAGATGCTGTTCCAAGTGCCCTTTGTTGTGGGGGGGTCTTTCCCCTTGTCCAATCCCACGTGGACAGGGGCGTCGGGGAACATGGGCGTTCAAATGATCACTTCATGAGTAGATGCCCCAAAAAAAGGCCCAAACTTCTTGTGTACCACTATGGTCTTCGCAAAAAGTGGTTCGATCAAGTCCGAAACGGGACTCGATCCTAGCGAGGAAACGAGAAGTGGCGTCCGCCTGATTTCCCTGACCAAGGGGGAAACCACTTTGCCCGATTCACCTGGAAGCTTCGCCTAAAAGCTTCACCAGAAGGCACTTCTGAAGTGCCGGGTTGCAGGAAAATAATTGCAAACATCAAGCAGTTTGAAGGGTTTTGTGGAGCACAAAATGTGGGCCTGTGGGGGTAGTGACCTTGGTCTTAGACTTCACCAAGCTTCACCTGGAGGCCCATGGTTCTAGGGGTTGATTCCTTTTCCATTCTTTTCAACCATCGTTCTTTTCAATCACCAGCGGTCTCTGCAGGTTGTTTGGCGGTTTTCTGGAAAGAAGGATCCCTGGAAAGAATGGAAATGGAAGCTACCCCTAGAATGGTTCAGACGGACACCACTTTGCCCAATTCACCTGGAAGCTTCACCAGAAGGCGCTTCACCAGAAGGCGCTTCACCAAGCCCATGGTCGCTGGGTTTCCCCTTCGCATAGGTGGCCCTGGTCAATGGAATCAACCGCATCTAAACCAGGGGAACCCCTCTATTTTAAGCAAACCAACCAAAAAGGACACCTATGCCCCTTCGATCCTTCGCTTCCCGTTGCGGTCCTTCAGGAGCTGTCGGCAAGCCACGTAGAAGAGCCCCAGGCTGCCCGTGAAGAAGGCGGGCAGCAGCAGCGCACGGGTCGGAGGTCCGGGGATCACGTTCTCCATGTAGACGCCGATGAGCCCTTGGCTCCAAAATAACGTGGTTTAATACCTCTCGATGGACCAAATCCATTTGGCAGCACGAAGTGACACCAGGGTTGAAACCATGATTTTGGTGTCTTTTTTTGATGATACCCTTTTTGGGTGTGGTTTGAAGGGAAACCAAAAGAAAAACCGAAGCCATTGCTGGGGGTCCCCAACAAAGGCACATATTTTTGTTGGGGAATCGAATCCACAACCAGGGCTTCTTGGGCACTGTGTACGACATCCTCAAAACGAAGGGGTCTGTGTCAAGACTTTGGGCAACCCCCCCCCCAAAAAAAAGAAGAAGAAAGAAAGAACAACTGGGTTGTCCAGTATAGACGGTCGATCGAAACGAGCCTTAGAAGGCGTAGCCGGCCTCAACAAAAACACACTCAAAAAGCTGACCATTGGGCCAGTCTTGGTTTCATCTGTGGATGACGGATATCTGTCATACCCCCATCTTGTGCAGTCAATGAAAGGAATGGAAACGCAACTGCAAAACCGCAACACCTTTGCGTGTTTGCTCGGGAAATCGGGCTTCGGACCAAAACTACTTGGTTAAGCAATCCTCGAAACAACACCAGTCCCAATTCCTAATTGGAAATCATCAGAGCCGTTGCTGGTCCGACATGCTTGTCATTTACCCAACAGGGGACACCACCGGGAATTGTTGAAAACTGGGCCCCTTAATGAATGTGGCCGTCCCTCCTCCCTATACATCAATAAGGGGTTGAGGATCATCCGCAGCTGGACTACATAGACTGCGGTGCAAAGAAAAGGAACCTTGGGGCATTCAACGCATCTGCTGCGCTTGTGCTGACCAGCTTGAAAGTCCGTACACACATGTGTTGGGCAACATGTTGAGTATTTGCAGACGAGACAATGCAGGAGCAGAACAACATAACACAATTAGTAAGCAATACCTTTCTCTGATGTGCTCGCACCATCAATTGCGACCTGTCCATTCAGCAGTCCTGCTGAACAAATCACCCCTTCAAACAAAATCAGGGGCGCTTTTGGCACTTCCTTGAATCATCATGTACTGCACCAGAACCATTCCAAGGGGAACAAGTGCAGCCTCTTGACTATTCGTGGCTAATAAATATATAGTGGCTATTGGGGGGCAATAAGGACCATTAAGGGGCATTACCTTTCCATGTCTCCCCTTGCTATGTCTCAGTGTTGGATTTCAAGAGGCCCACTGTTGCTGCTGCTACTACTACTACTACTACTACTACTGCTGCTGCTGCTGCTGCTGCTGCTGCTACTGCTACTGCTACTGCTACTGCTACTGCTACTGCTACTCTACTGCTACTGCTACTGCTACTGCTACTGCTACTGCTACTACCACTGCTACAGCTACACCTACTTCTGCTACTGCTTCTTCTACTATTTCTACTGCCACTAGTACTAGTACTACTACTAGTACCTGGTACTACTGCTACTGCTGCTACTATTTCTACTACTTCTACTGCCACTACTACTGGTAGCGGTTCAAAACGGAGTGTTTGCCAATCCAAATTCATCCTCCCGCGAACCCCTTCATCAAGGAGTGCGGATGGCCGAACTGAGCAGCCCAGAGTCCAAAGCGGCTTGGACATATGCACTTAATTGCCCTAGACATTGCAAGTAGGAACAAGGGACACACTCTAAACTCCCAAGGCTCGTGGTTGGTTTACTTGCACCCAGCGGGCATCCGCTGTATGGCTCCAAGTCGGTACAGGAAAAAGCGAATGGAAGCAGAGCGGCCGCCCACAAAGTAGAAGCTCCAGAGGCCGAAGAGCACTGCGAGCTTCCGCGCGTCCACACCCACCTCAGCGCGCTCGATGTCGTCCAAGCGGGAGCGCCGGCAGCCCTTGCGGAGGTAGATCATGCTGATGCGGCCCAGCGTGGACCCGATGTCCTCAAACCAAATGAATTGCGAGGAAGCATTGGGGCTGAGATTATCTTTGATGCGTGCAATCAATCCTAGGGCAATGTAGGGCAATCAAACCAGTGACGTACGCGGCCAGAAGCATGAAAGTCTGAAAGTCTACCCGAATGCAGCCGCGTTGCTGTGACTGTGCCGGTCACGTGCGTGGTTCGGACAATGGCGCCGAAGTGCGAGGTGCACATGGCGTTCTGCAAGCCGCATGCAGTGGCAACGAAGCACGCGGGGAGTAGCCGCCCCGGGATGAACGCGGCCAGGACAAGAAGCGTCGAGTTCATAAGAAGGGCCAGGCCGTAAGAGGACTTGCCTCCAAAGTGCACCTGAGGTCCAAGCAGCCTTCCGAGTATGGCAAACGGCCCACAGACCCAACGCTGCCAGCCCCCAAAAATTCAACTAAAATCACTGAGACCACACGCTCAAGGCGCCTGGTTCTTGTCAATAAGAAGGCCGCACGTGTAGGCGCCCACCAGAAACGAGAAGACTAGGAAGAAGGCCTCGCGGAAACTCTCCGAACCGAACTCCCCCTGGTGGTACCCTTCCAAGCGGAAGGCCATGGCAGACGTGCTGCCCGTCACATGCGACGCATACCTCGCATGAGCATGAGGTGCGCGTGTGAGGTCATGCCCAATCGATGCCCAAACTCGCTAGGTCCATGCTGGCTCGGAAAAAAACAAACACCCTGTCAGGTGGTGTGGTGCCCGTCGTCCCCCGCCTGTGGTTGAGTAATTTTGCTTGATGCTACGTTTTGTGGAAGGGACACCCAAACTACTATTGGGCGGACCTGGCACCTACAAACCAGGTCCTGCCGGGACACAAGTTCCAACTCTTGAAGGCGATGACGTTGGCCGCGCCGGCGCAGGCCGCCAAGCACCACCCGAAGCCCATGACCCAGAACTTGGGCCGCTGGAAGCTCTTCCGGATCTGGGCCGCCTTCTCCCTGCAATGAATCACGCTTGGAGACCCGACCCTCTAAACATGGGTGTTTTGGAGGGTACAACTCGCGGGTGCACTTGCGGCGGCCAGGGTATGTAGCAGCAGGTTGACGAATGAACTCTCCCCATGACTGACGCGAGCCCCAGAAAAAAATGACTTGTTTCCCCGAGAGGATTCCACGTCCTTCCCAAACTAACAGAAGACAAATAATAGCTCGCCAGAAAACCCTTCCCCCTAATAGAGTGTGGGCGGCTATGAGGGCCCCACTGTTTGCTGATTTTTTTTAGTAGAACGATGGTGTGCATGTGTGTGTGTGACCTATTACAGAAGGCACTTTTTTTGTTTAGGGTTTGCTTGACATCGATACAGCAAATTCTACGGACTGACTCCAATAACTCTTCCAGGCACCATTACCCACAAGACCTGAATCGGGAATTAAGTCTGTCAGTCATGCCTGAATTTTTAATCATGGCTTGTCAAATGGATTGCGCTTGCCTGCCTTTCCACATGTTGACTGCCAGCAGCTATATGCAAATTTCTGGGGGAGGGAGTGCTCCTATCGTTACAGACTAGCCGGATGAGCGGCCCCACCCCTTGTCAACAGATGTTGATGGGGAGTTCCCTACCACCATCTCAGCTTAAGTGAATCCACCAGTAGGTTACTATTTCTAGGCTCCTTCTGGAGCCGAAACATTTGCTTGAACTTTGTAGCTAGGGGGTCAGTGGAATGAAGGCCTCTGCAAGTGGTGATGAGGACCCTCACTTCCTTGTGACAGTGGACTTAAGGATTGAACCTTTCCATTGGCCATGGGTTGCTGGTAGACGAGGGTGTTTTCCCCAGCTGCTGAATTACTTGCAGATCACTCATATGGCCACCAGGTCAAGACATGTGAGTGGAGAGCAGACCACCTGCAAGTGGGCACAGTAGACTCCACATCAGCTCGGATCGGTTCTAGCTCCTATGCTTGCTGGCGGCATGCAATAGCTTGCCTGGTGGGGGAAAACAAAATAACTTGTTCTACTTGCACCTTCTACAGGCCATGAACAACTTCTGATAAGTAGATCTCCTATGGTCAACAAACAAACTATGTTCATGAAAACAAGAAATCAGGGAACGCAAACATGCTCTACACTACACGAAAACAAAAGCCCTCTTAACAAAAAACACACATGTCCGGTGCTAGCTAAACCCTCTATGTTAACCAATAGCAAGCTAGCAGCTTGATGACGCTGCAGCACATTGGCCTAACCTATGACACATGTAGCTGTATGTCAAAGCCATGTACACGAATATACTATATCCTGTTCTACCCAACTCAATTTCCATAGGAGTGTGATGCACAAGACAAGCCGTGAGAACTCACGAAAAATTCGCCCACAAGCAAAATGCATAGAATATATTTTTCTAGAACGTCTTGTTGCCACAGGTGTTAATCAAAGGTGAAGGCAAAGCAGCAAGAAAACGTCGGTGCTCGTTGCAGAGATTATTGTAGCTAACTCTGCTTCCTAGCAACCATTTTTAATCCTGCATCATCAATTGCAAGCTGGCCACTATGGTGCTATTCACGCGAATGTTCAAGCAGCAAACTACTAAAATGCATAGCTCCATTTATATATGTAGTGACCCATTGAATTCAATCCTAAGCAACAAGACAGTTGTCCACGCAAATCCTGGAACTTTGCAAATAGGGGCAGGCACATAGGACGGAGACAGCACACAAGACGCCAGTGGCATAAAATCTGCAAATTCTACAAATCCAAAACCTCGAAAAGAATCCAAGCAAGAGACCTCCTTGAGATCGCGTCACCCCGAATCGGTCAATTCGCTTGGTCAAAAATAGGTACATGGCTGTGGGTCAAAAATAGGTACCCCAAGATGGCTTGCCCTGGCAAGTGGAAACATGGGCCAAAACCTGTGGTCCAACTGGTTGTTTGATTTTGACCCCACATGAGTACTTCCCACTACCCCTCCATTTGCTTAAGTCCCCTGGAACGAATGAACATATTTCCAGTATAGTGATAGAGTCCCTTTAAAACCAAGAGGGAACATTGAAAAAAGTATTGCTTTCACCAAAGGGAAGATCCCCCGCCTCTTCTTGGTCGGGCTGCTCTGAGCCGAGTGCCCCGGAGAGAGGCTGGCTTTCTCCACAGCGAGCGTCTTCTGCGTCATGGCTGTGTCCTAAACCTTGGAAGTGGCAAAGTGGCTGCGGAAGCGGAAGCGGAAGAGAGCAGGTTGCAGAGAGCAGCAGAAGCCAATACCAAGCCCACGGCACCGCCCAAGCCAAGACAGCATGTTCATCCAGGCTCCCAACACCCCACGCCAGATTTACGAGACTGGCCTCTTGATACGCTCCAGCACTGAAAGGCAGGAGAAACGTCACCTAATCAAACGATGGACCCATGGACCCCACAAATCCCAAACTCACTGTGATTTCAATGCGAGTAGGTGGAGAAATCAGCTTGAAGACACTACGCCCATATAAGTTGAGCACGGGATGCTCGCCAAACATCCTTTTGCACGCGCCAACGCGTGGTCTGGGGGTTTCGGTTCGGAGCTCTTGTCGAGCCACGAACCGTGCATGTTGGCCTGGCTGCATTCCTTGAGCTACCGGGATCCGCAAAGACTTTGAGCAGCCCACAAAATTGACGCATGAATCACAATGTACGATGTAGTTGGCTCAGCCCCGGTCCGCTTGCCCCAGGGATGCGTCGCTGGAAACTTCTGTCTCCGGCGACAGGCCGCCACGCCCAAAACTTGCAAGCCACAATCATGCAGTGCGAGCATGAGAAGTTGACAGTAGCAATTCTCTTGGGACCTGGCAACGGATGTCCGCATCAGGCTTCCCACATGGGTCACACCAGCAAGATCACTTAAAAGACTTAGGTGGCCGTGGTCAAAAGCCTTGTGAATTCAGCCTCTCAGGCCCTTTACTCATGTGGCCTGGGGCAATTCGAAGGTCCTAAGCGCTACTTGCAAGCCCCTCGGCATTGCGGCACATAGCTCAGACAGTGTTTCTTCTCACGGGGTCCTCTTGGCCGTCTGGGGAACACTGAAACAAACTAGTTATGATTTATGTTTCATATTTGGTCTAACTCAAAATAGGAAAAACCGCAAATTGGAGAACCTAAGGTCCTTAGAGTCCCTGCTGTGCTGCCGGCAGAGGTTGTCGAAATCCGCCTCTACCTCGTGCAGGGCCTCGATCATGTGTCCCATCTCCTGAGGAGAAACTCGCTTCAAACGTCGCTGAATTGGAACATTCCAATCACGCTGCTCGTGTGCCATTAAACGCGGCATAAGGCGGCAGACCTCAATACTGTGGGTGGGCGAAATCCATTTCGCACCGCGCAGAAACCCGCGGTTCTGATGATTTCCCCTGGCAAATACCATCAAATAACGATTTCAACCATGGTTTCAAAGTGATGAAGGGATTTCGCAACCAGTACGAAAGGCCGGTGACTTGGAAAAAGCAGGCCTAAACAGTTGAGACAACCTAATCGTCCCAAGAGAAGCGCAAGCAGATCCTCGTCCAACTCAACCACCAGTCCATCGTTGTTGCCACTTTCCAGGCTGTGCAGGCGCGAGCCCATGTGGGCAATGGCCTCCTGAGCCTCTTTGAGGTCTGCCTCGAAGCGGTCCTTCTCCAGCTTCTTGAAGTGTTCCTGTGGCCGTGCAGTCTCGGAGCCACTTTCGGGGCAATCTTCGGAGCAATTTTCGAGCCAAGGCTGTCTCAGTGAACAAGGGACACGCACATGAAACTTCAACAGCAACTGGTTACCAAGGTGGCAACCGGGATCCACCCGGCGCCAGTGCTATGTGTGACTCAAAATGTGACTCAACGCCCATTGCGCAATCGATCCCCGTCTGGTGGTGCGGTGTGGATTTCGCAACTATCCGCAGTCAAGGGAACGGAAAGACGAAGTTCGAAGCGGGAGCGCCAGATTTGAGACACTTTGACTCCGCTTGAATCGACAACCTCTAGTGGTGTGGAAACTACCGCCAAACGGTTTTTGGGGCCTTCTCCTTCTTTCCCCCTCCCCCCCAAGAAATCGCTGCGTCGAGCAGACACTGTGCACTATCGCAAAGGCAAAGGCCGCTACAAAGAGAACCAGCTAAGGAACAGGATGGCTGGGAACCGCCAAGCAAAATCTGAGTTGGAGCATGACCAATACCAATCCCAGACACGACTTCCTTGGAAAGCTCTCCCTGCGCTACTCCAAGCCACCACAAGCTGCTAAACGCCACCAGCAATCACCGCCACCCACGCAGCAACGACCAGAGCCGATCATACCCAACCACGGCTGACGTTTCTCAAACCCAACCCCAACCCTCAAAGCAGTGACATCCTCTGTCTGCGTTAAGTCATTTCTGGCTGTGCTCACATAGCAATTTGTCTTCCTAACAACAACGGAGACAATCAGGCAACCGTGGCGTGCTCCAAGCAAAACACATCACACACCAACAACTGGCACAGAAGGAACACGTGGATCAATCCTGAGTAGAAAGAATAGGTGCATCCCAAACATATTGCGGTTGTCCTTTAGACCAACCCTGCAATGAGGTTGGTGCCCCCCTGCCAAAACCAAGAATTCCACAACAAGAACGGGCCACTCCCAAAAGCACATAACCTGAGCCACAGGGCGAATACCCACACCATTTTTCTGGCAGGGATTCTCCTTTACTAACCTTCATTTACTCACTTCCCGAGTGGATGGGCCAAAAAAACAACAAATCCAATGTTGTTTCCCCCTACCCTTCCTTACCCGGCACCCTCAGCACCCTCAGCACCCTCCCCTCAGGCCTTGAGGAGCTGTCGGAAGGCCATGTAGAAGAGCCCCAGGCTGCCCGTGAAGAAGGCCGGCACCAGCAGGGCCCGAGGCCCCGGCATCAAGTTCTCCTCGTAGATGCCGATGAGCCCTGCCCCCCCCCCCGAGCCCCGAGGTCGCTTTCAGTGGGTCAAAGGGACCCGTTTGGTGGACCTCGTGTACGATGCTTTGGGTGGGGGACGTTGATTTCAGTGGGTCAAACCGACCCTTCGTTGGACATCGTTTGATTTTGTTTTTTTGGGGAGGGGGGGGGTTGCATGTCCACCAACCTCGTTTGAGGCGGGAAAATTCGGGAAATTCATAGCCATGTAGGTAAACACACACACACACATGCCTGGACCCTCAAAGTACCCATAAAAGAAGGAAACTTCACCCCACAATCTTGGGGGTTTTAAGCAATTGTTCAGGGAACTTTGAGCGTTCAGGTGGGTACATCTCAAAAACGGGGGGAACCCACACAAATTGGCGGTGTCCCTTTTTGGGCTTCCTTTGAAACCAGCCATTTGAGGGGGGCTGATCCATATTCCATTCTGCCCCCAGTTTTGACCATGGGGATGTTCCCAATTTAGTGGGAAATATCATCGTTTTATGTTTTAGTGGTTTTCCAACCAATGGTCATCCTATGCAAAGGACCTTTGGATCAACCCCCACGTGGCGCCATGAAACTTAAGAGTCGGGGCCGAATGAATCCGCACCCGTGTCTAAGAGTTGGTGGACATGAATTCACACCTAAATCATGTCCACCAAAGGGTCCTCTATCAAAATCCACGTGCCCATTGCGCGAAGTGCTTTGGATCCGTGGATGAGAGGATCATTCAGCCATACCCGGTCTTGCGCAATGAGAGGAAGGGAATCAGAGCCGGGTACTGTTACATGGTTGAGAAACACCTTCACGGGCATCTCTCCAAAGCCACAAATCCAAAGTCAAAGCCCTCCACGTCAGACCCTGAGAAACAGCACCGCTAACCAGCATCAAGATGGCACAACAAATAATGACCATGGGGGTGTTTCCCTCCAAAACTGATGAAACTCACACTAAGGTCACTAATCCTGTGTTGACATGCTCGAGTTTGAACCTCAGGCGAGCCGCCGCCCATGAAATAGAAGCTCCAGAGCCCGAAGAGCACCGCGAGCTTCCGCGCGTCCACACCCACCTCAGCGCGCTCGATGTGGTCCAACTGGGAGCGCCGACAGCCCTTGCGGAGGTAGATCATGCTGATGCGGCCCAGCGTGGACCCGATGTCCTGCAACCAAATGACTTATGACTTGCGAGGAAGTTGTGACTTGCTAAGATGATCTAAGATGCGCGCAATCAAACTCAGGGCAATCAAACTATGCCAAGTGAGGAACAGCCAAATATAGTCTTTTTATCATTCACTCACAGACCAAACTCATCAAAACTTCGCAGCCAGAAGCAAGAAAGTCTAGCGAGTAGCCAAGTCGCAGTGACTGTGCCAGTCACGTGCGTGGTTCGGACAATGGCGCCGAAGTGCGAGGTGCACATGGCGTTCTGCAAGCCGCATGCGCTTGCAACCAAGCAAGCGGGGAGCAGGCGCCCCGGGATGAACGCGGCCAGGATAAGGAGGGTCGAGTTCATAAGAAGGGCCAGGCCGTAGAAGGACTTGCCTCCAAAGTGCACCTGGTTCTTGTCAATGAGCAGGCCGCACGTGTAGGCGCCCACCAGAAACGAGAAGACTAGGAAGAAGGCCTCCCGGAAACTCTCCGAGCCAAACTCCCCCTGGTGGTACCCCTCCAAGCGGAAGGCCATGGCGGACGTGCTGCCCGTCACATGCGACGCATACCTTGAATGAGAAGCTGTGCCGGATCGATCGAGCCTACGATCCCAAACCTGTGGCAAGACCTCTCACTTGGTGAACCTTCAACCTTGGATTTTCCCTCCCACCAAGTACCATGGAAGTGCACTGTGCGCCCCTTTCCAAAAGGAAACAGCAGTCTTGCTACAGTCTATGCACTTCCATGTTGGTTGGTGGGAGGGTAAAGTTTATCGAAATACCACCTAATTATTGCTTTGCAAAGGTACAATATGTATGCATCAAAAAAAAAAGAAAAACAAACGTTGACCCAGCTCAAGCGTGTGTGCGGTGGATCCCTCGGGCTCTGTTTGGCCGGGACACAAGTTCCAACTCTTGAAGGCGATGACGTTGGCCGCGCCGGCGCAGGCCGCCAAGCACCACCCGAAGCCCATGACCCAGAACTTGGGCCGCTGGAAGCTCTTCCGGATCTGGGCCGCCCTCTCCCTGCACGCTTTCGGAAGTAGTCAGTGGATCTCCATTTCCCAGCTTAGGCGACCTTTTAAAACAAAGAGGAACGAGTGGTGGTCTTTATTCCCGATAAATTGGTATGCGCAGTGTGAAGGGTACCTTCCGCGAGCATATTTCTATATATAAGCGCTTCCGTGGGCCTTCCGTCAAGTTGTTTCTGGGAGTTGTGGAAGGTAGCTTCCGCGAGGGAATTCTTGTGCATGATTCGCTCATAAACGCACTGTGGCCAAAACCACCCCAGACCAATTTAAACCCTCCATTTGCTTAAGCCTAAGTCCCCAGGAAATATATATATATATATAAACATATTATGTCCAGTAGTCATAGATTCCCTTTAAGACCAACAGGGGGAAACACATGTTCTTGAGCAAATGGAAGAAACCACTCTGCGCTGCTGCGGCTGTACCAGTGTGGCCCGCAAGTGCGGCTCAAGTGCGCGTGCTTGTTGCGCTACTGGGCCCAAGCTTGGGGGTCGCACCCTTCTGCGCACCTGCCGAGAAACCATCCTGTATATGGCCATGGGGCATAACCTATGGCTCAATTTTCGGGTGGAGGAATATCCATTTGCCACCTATTTTGATGGTCACCAGGGGTACAGGGTTTTGACCCACAGCCATATCTTTGGAGACTCTGTGCTGCTTGTTCAACCCCGATCTACTTGCACTATCAAACGTACTTGGATGAATCCGGACGACCACAGCACCCAAAAGCGGTTCGCCAGTATATAGGGGCTGCCTGAGACCTCGCAGAGCTCTGGTGCCTTTTCATGCCCCTCATCAAAGCAAACGCGAGCAAGTCAAGCGCAAGTTCCGTGGCAGCTGGCGCGGCAGTGTGATGCTACCCTGTTTCTATACATGTTCGAGTTTTGGCGGGAAACAAAAAACAACAAAGGCGGCACGTCACTTTTTTCCCCGCGCCAATGATGTCTTGCCTGGGACGTGCCGCACATTTGATATTGGAGGCTCCGTTGGGTGCTTCGCCACGTGAAGCGCGCTGTGTAGCTGCATGGTTGCAGTGATGTTGTGTTAGTTGCACTATGCAGTGTCAGTATATATGTGTTTAGTGTATATGTGTTTTGTGTTTTGTGTTTGGTGCTGTGTTTTGTGTTTTGTGTGCTGTGTTTGTGTTTTGTGTTTTGTGTTCTGTGTTCTATGTTTTGTGTTTTGTGCTTTGTGTTTTGTGCTTTGCGTTTTGTGTTTGGCGTTTTGTGTTTTGTGTTTTGTGTTTTGTGTGTGTGGGTGGGTGTGAGTGTGTGCGTGTGCGTGTGCGTGTGCGTGTCGTGTGAGTGTGTGTTGCACTGGTGGTGGGCCTTGCAATTGGCGGTGTGTCGGCGGTGGTGGTGCTGGTGGTTTGTGTGTACTTGTGCGTGTTGTGTGTTCCCTGATTATGCGTTTGCTATGTTTGATATGCTCCACATGAAGGTACAGGGAGTTGTTTTTGCCTGTTGCTGTTGAATGACGGACTTAGCTGCAAGTAAGAGGAACACCTGTTATGCGGTTTGACTCACATTTCTCACTGGTTTGGGAGCAAGGACTGGTTGCTTGAAACAACTGTTGCGTGAGATACAGGCTGTGCAAGAAGTGGCCTTGCACAAATGACTCCCCGAACGACTAAAAGGCAGAACATGGCAGAACGAAGAATCGATGAAACACGTTCAAAGTGGATGATTCGAAACCAAGGAGTCAAAAAGAAGGACATGGCCATGGGTCAAAAGCCCGGTACCCCAGTAATAAAATGGGTTGTGAATTCACCTACCAACCAAAATGGGATCCCAAAACGGTTTTGACCACCACAGCCACATGTGCGAGCGATGTTTCAGGAGGACTCGGCCAGTTTCGCCCACTGAAGCTGCCTCTTGGTGGGGCTGCTCTGTGCCGAGGCCGGAGACAAGGCTGCCTTCTCTATGGCGAGCGTCTGCTGCGTCATGGCTGCAAGCTGTTCGTCGTTTCGGACCCCACGCTCTGGTGGCAAAGTGGCTGCAGAAGGCTGCAGCTGTGGCAACCGAACAGAAAGCCCAGCGCGGCAAACCGCTGCAACCGGACGGGTGACGTGCACCTTCGCACGATGCAACTCATATCGCACAAATCATATGTACCTGGACCTTCCATTGTTACATAAATGTGTGTCACGAAAGAAAAATGCTCGGAGCAACTATTTTTGCCCAATGATCCGAAAAGTGCTCGTTCCCCAAAAAGCGCTCGTTTCATAAACACGGGTTTTTGCAAAATACTAAGTGTTACATATTTTGGATGTGCGCTCTTGTTGCGGGTATTTGCACTCGTTTTGCGGGTATTTGCGCCCGTTTTCCGGGTATGTTTCCACATGTGTCCACGCAACAGACTACATGAGAAGAGAGAAGCCGCCGCAATAGCCAAAAATGCTCGAATCCAAATTTGTGCCCGTTCCCCCGAAAAAAAACGCTACGAAACACCCAAGGGGCACAAATTTATGTAACGAATGAAGGTCCAGGTATATATATATATATATATCACTTGCACCAACACTGCGATTGTCCAATTCTGTCATAATTGATGAATCCTGGACCTTCATTTGTTACTTGAATGTGCGTCTCTTGGGTGGCTAGCAGAAATTTGCGAATCGCGCAGCTTTGTTTCGTGACAAGAACATATGTAACAATGGAAGGTCCAGATATATAGTATGTTTGGAGAAGACATTCAGGTGGCCAGAAACGTGGAACCTGGCAAGAAACGAAGTCGAACACTCAGGTTCCATGCCCAAGTTTTGGGCCGGTAAAGAGGGGCTGCCCCCACCAAGCTTTTTAAGGTTGGGCAAGGGGTGGACCGTAAGCTAAACAATTGGCCGTGGCCAAGAAGTGTGACACTGAAAATTGCTCGTAGACAAGTAGTTCCAAAGAAGTACAAAGCGTCTTGCACATGTATACGTAACAGCCGCCATCGCCAGGAAACAGTGACGTAGTATACCAACTTCAGATAGCATGTGACACGCTGGGAAGTGGACACAAACACGGAACTTCGCCCCAAAATGCAAACAAACAAGGCCCCTTGTCAGGCATCGCACCCTGCGCGATTAGAAGAAGTGGGCCCGGGTGATGGATATCCGCGGGAGGGGCACACGGCGTCGGAGCGCAAACCAAACGGAAATCGTCGCAGCCCTCAGGCTGAGCGGTGACTTCTGATTGAGGGAAAGCTGATAGTTTCCTCTTTTTAAACTTTGGTGCCCACAATGTGCCGCAGCTCGGGTCGCGCCATGAATGGCATGCTGGCCTGCCGGCATCCGTCGGGCTCATCCGAGCAGACACAAGATCCACGGAACCTTTCTGGATATGGATGTGTGTGTAGCAGGCCGCGCTGCCCAAAAGTTGCAAGCCATCTTGCGGTGCCAGGAAAGGGACATGCGATTCTGCCAGCATGAAACACATGCATTCCTTGTTTCATTCTGGTCTGCCTTTCACTCTGATGGAGTTTGCACATCTCCTTCCCGGCAAGATAGCGGCCAGCGTGAAGCCCAAAATTGAATTCAGACCAGGCATCCAGGCCGTTTACAGGACCTGGAACGGTCGTACCTTAAATTCCGCACGCGCAAACCCTTGCCTCTTTACATCACGTGCGCCGCTGTGTCTTGACAGGACACGCGTGGCGCGTTGGAACGCGCCGCGCATGAAGGTTCGGGGCTTGCCGATGGGACAAAACTAATGTGGCGCACGCCTGGCAGTTGAGAAATCAAGTTCAGCAACCCCCGAAAAACGGCCTAAGCGCCCTGGAGGCGCAAAATCCATCGTGCTGACTCCTGGATTGGGACGCGTTCTCGGTGACGTCTGCAGATAAATGGCTTGGCTGGCTCAGTCTGCTGCAGGAAGTGCCCTTGCGATCCAGGACTCGGCTCTGGCTTCGGATCTGGTCGAAATCCTGTGACACCTCGTGCAAGGCCTCCATCATCTGGCCCATCTCCTGGCGCTCCACTTTCTGATCCCCTGCTCAAAGTGACCCCATTTGTGGGTTAAGTGGGCTGTTCCCAGATTTTTTTGCGAAGGGTCGAGAACTCTCAGTGGGTTAAATTCGGAAACTACCCACTAAACCAACCAAAAAAACACCCAAAAAGCTCAGGAACCGGATGGCCGCCACCAAGTCTCTCTCTCTTGGCGGGTCCGAATGCGTGATTCTCCCATCGGAGCCGGAAGGCGTCGTCTTTTTGCGTGGAGCCCTTGCTAAAAGTTGGACTTGTCATCAGTGGGTGTGTCTGACTGTCTCAAAGCAGGGCAAGCCCAAAACTCTTGGCTGCCTCCTGGATTTCGCTTCACACCAAGCCTAAAAAGGGTACCCTCAAAAAAGTCTAAACACAAAACAGTTTCTGGCGGTATGGCTGGAACGCCGTAGCAACGGGCGCATGAACAGCAGCTCAATACTTGTCAGTGGAGGTAATTGTCATGATTGGGTGCTATGAACTCGACTGGCAAAGCTGAACATGGGTCGGCCAGCACAAAAACAACAACAACTGGGGCGCTGCCAAACTTTGAGGGTGCCCTTTTGACGGGGTTTGGCGCAAGGCAACCAAAGGAAGGACCGCCTCCTTCTATTTGGCCCCCAATGCTCAAAGTGAGGAACCTGAGCATTGAGAATGTGCGCTGGTTCGAAGAGATCTGGGGACTCAAGGGAAACTAGATACTCATAGGGTTCCATGTCCCATGGGGAAAACAAACACGATCTTGCCATCCAAATCTCCAAATCTCTTGGTACAGAAGGATGGACAGATTTTGGCGGTGATGGTGTACCATGGTACCATCCCGTACTTCCAGGGTTGGTACACTCAGAGAAACATGGAAACCCAGACAGCCTCATGGAACCAAGGCTTCCATGGACTCTCGGGAGGCTACCAAAGGGAAACCTCGCAATGTCCAAAGCTTTGGATTCGCCCCTTTTTCTTGTGGATTTCTCCTGTTCTTCCCCCTGTTGGTCCCTTTTTTTTCTCGTACTCTTTAGTACTCTGTTGATATCCAGTGGTGGATCCACAGCTTCGCCACATCCAAACCGATTTCTGTCGAACTCCTTATCCAACTCCATCAGGTCGCCATTCTCCAGGCTCTGCAAATGAGTTCCCATGTGGGCGATGGCCTCTTGGGCTTCCTGCAGATGCGATTGGAGTCGCGCCTCCTCCAATCTCTTGATGTAGTCCTCTCACGCCAACGGACGCGAATGACTCAGGTTTGCCCACAACACCTGGGATTTTGGTATGTTTCTCAGGACACCTTGCGCTGTGGGGAACCGGGTTGGTCTAAATATATCTCAGGAAAAGGTTCGTCGGTGAAGTCTGGGGATCAAACAGGCTGTTCAAATTGGGGACCAAAAAAACCCGGTGGGGTGGTTACAATCGCATTCCGGAAAAGAAATTCTGGGTCTCTTCCGTCACATCCCTTTCCATGCATGTGCATACTGCTTGGTTTCTTGGTCGCTTCATGCCCTGAGCGAAAGGTCGATCTCCTGTTGTAGGCTTCATGGAAACGCTATTTCCCCAGAGGTCTCAGGGGCGATTCGGTCACACCAAACACCCATGAAACGTTTCAACAACCTTTGGGCCTGGAGCTTGTACCTGGGTTTCCTTGGAGAAAGTCTCTCAGAGCTTGTTTGGGAAACCCTTCCCAACAAGTTGCCGGGCGGGGCCAGGGATCTTCGATGGATATAACTCGTCGCAAAGAAATCTTGCCGGGACCCGAGAGCGGCTTTTTCAGCCACCTAGGTCCTCCAGTTTTGGAGGTTAGAAAACCGGGTACCGATTTTTTTGTAGTCGATTTTAGGGGAACCCTCCCCAAAAAACAGAACAGGTGAGAAAGGGCACCTAGCTGGGGAACCCAGCCACTGCTTCAAACCCCATGTTCCAAAACCCATACCCTCCAAACATCACCCTCGAGGGGTTGAGTGCTGGGAAACGGTTTGGCTCTCAGGGACTCACACTGCTTGAGTGGTTGGAATCCATTTAGATCCGAATGCTAAAATCAGAGGCCTGCAATGGCAATGCATCTAGGTGTGGGAGTTGATGGCAGCGAAATCCAGGTATCAACCGCCCCGGAGTCCCCTGGAACCGGCATCTCGCCTATGGACCCCGTAGCTTTTAAGCTGGGGGAAAGAAGAAGAAGAAACACATCTGTCGCGAGTAACAAATGGATGCGGGCAAGCGCAGCTTGCTACTGTGGACGAAATCCGTTCGCACCACTTTGAAGCCAGTGTTTCTTGGTATTTACAGGGGAATCATCAGAAACCAGGGTTTCTTTGGTGGTGCAGGATTTCGTCCATCTACAGTATGTACCCTTGCCACAGTGTGGACCGCCACAGCTGCCATCACGAAGCATAGAAAAAAGATTTCAGGACTCCGCAGTGCAGGCCGTTGCGCCCGTTGCGCTGCAAACCGTACATGAGCTTGGGTACAGTTGCTTTGAACAAGATTTGATTGTAGTTGGTTTGGGCTAACGAAAGAAAGCGAGACACACACACACACACACGCACACACGCACACAAATGCAAACTCAATGAATCAATTTGGAAGCCAATAAAACAGCGCTTGCTAAGCAAAAGTTCAATCTTTGGGCCCTAAAATAAATACACCAAGCTAAAGGGTTCAAGTCCAACTCACCAAGTGGCTTCTTTTCAGGCCAAAATTCCAATATCTCATTTTCCCTCAAAGCCCGGTAGTTTGGCGTTCCGGAGACGAGTCCCATCTACCTTCCAGACCCTTAACCCAGAGGTTCAAACCCAACTCAAACCACCAACCCAAACAACCAATTTAGGGGACCCCCGGGCCCCTCCCAAAAAACAAGGTGGTTCTCATTTCAGTTTCTCTTTCAGACAACACACAAAATAGTACCAACATCCAAAAAAACCACACCCAACCTCGCTTCCTGAGTGAACTGGCTAAAACAAGACCCAAACTAAGTTTGCTCCAAATTCAAAAAGTGACGAAAGTCCATGAACTCAGGAAGTGAGTACCAGAGTCACCCAAGTGGTAGATTGAAGAAGAACAGCTCAAGTTGACTTTAATAGCCTCGAAGAGTAACAATGATCAACCCAAGACGGACAGGTTTCCTTTGGGTTTCCAAACAATCCAAAACATAAGACACTCAGGAAGTGAATCTTTTCAGGGGGCCCCCCAGAAAAGGGGGGGGGGTGTTCAACTGTTGGTTTCCGTTTCAAGGCCACACAAGGGCTACCCCAACTTGTTTGTTGCCACAAGAAAGGTCTTCCCCATTGCCTCAAGTCCACGACCTCAGGCAGTGAGTGTTTTTGCAGGGGGGTGGAGCAGGGCGGGGGACATGGAATCCACGAATCTGTGACACCAAAAGCTGCGAAGACGAACCCCGCCATATGAAGGAGATTACTGTGGATGGACGAAATCCATTTCGCACCCCCTAAGAAACCCTGGTTTCTGATGATTCCCCTGTAAATACCAAGAAACAATGGCTTCAAAGTGGTGCAGGATTTCGTCCATCCACAGTATGGAATAACGCGAGGGATCCCACAACTTGGTTGACGTTGGAAGGGGAGCATTTTTTCTCAAATTTTAGCAGTTCAGTGGGGGCTTCCCACTAAATCAAAATAAGCAAAAACCCTAAGGCTCATGACCCCTCCAATGCAGGCCCCCGGGCCCTCCAATGAAGAACAAGGACCCCTTCAGAGGCCCTTGAAAACAACCCATCTTGAGGCCCAAGAATCATCGGGAGCCTTTGGGAATGTAAAATATTTCCCAACAACAACAATGACAACCCGTGAGCGCATCAAACTCGGTTCCCCATATTTATCACTTTTGGAAAGGCCCCCACCCCCATATTGATAAACAGGGGTTTATTAAATCTGGGGTCAACCTCAAAACCCATAATTAAAAACACAAAACCAAGACGGACTGGTCTTTCTTTTGGCTACCAACTCCAAAATAAGCCATCGAATTCCCACCAAAGCCCACCAAAAGCCCACCAAACCAAGGGCTGCCCCTAACTCAAAACCCCTCGAGCGCTCCATCAACGCTTCCTTGAGCAGCTGTCGGAAGGCCACGTAGAAGAGCCCCAGGCTGCCCGTGAAGAAGGCCGGCACCAGCAGCGCACGCGTCGGAGGCCCGGGGATGAGGTTCTCCATGTAGATCCCCACCAGCCCTTGGCTCAAAAACCGGGATCCTTACAAGAAAACACCTACACATTGACTTGTAAATGGAAGTGTCCCTTCATTTTGGTGGAAAAAGCCATGTTTCAAATGGGCAAAATGTATCTTTTAAGGAGCCCTGAAGAAGGACGTGTTTTGAATAAGACACATCTCGGTTGCAAACTCTGCTCCCCTGCTAAAAGTGAATGACTTTTAGCGGTTTAATACGGAAACCCTACTAGTTGGCAAAAAGTTAAAGTCCTAACATCCAAGCAAAATGCACCAATATTAAGTGGGGATTGGGATGTTTACTGGGGGTACGGGGTTTTGACCCATGGCCAAATAAGACATCCGCAAAACCAAGGGGACTGCGTCTCAAAATATGGGCTTGCAGGCTCAAAAAGGACCTGTTTTACTCACTTCCCGTCGAGTGGATCGGCTAAAAAAAGTCAGGACACTTTCAATTCGCACGCAAATGGTCTTCCCGAAACGTCGCAAGTCCGGGAATTCGCGAAGTAAGTTTCATAACACATTCGCAGAATGAGGATACCAGTGTCTTAAAATATGGGGGGCCTTGCAAAATGGCGGATTTTCCGTGAAACGAGGCTCAAAAAGGGAAATACAAGTAAAATGAGCACTTGGCTCAAAAAAGAGAAACAACATGAGGAAGTGCATCAAAGCTTCAACCTAAAGAAGCTCTATGTCCATGTCTCCAGTTTCTCATACGAGCAAGCGCTATCGTCCTAGCAAAGGTCTCCCTGCGCACACGACGCGCTTCCCAACCACCAAGCCACACACACCCTGCGAGCAATGTACGAAGCCAACTAATGCCTAACCCATCAGACGAAGCCATGCACATGATTTACAAAAGCGACCCAAAGAAACAAATTACAAATCGGAATTTGTTTGTTGAATGAGACATCAAAACAGAAGTCCTCGAGTCTCACAATGAAATTATGACATAAACATGATCGAGTCTTAGCCTACGCAAATCTATTGAGGAACAAAAAAGGCATCCACACACCAACGGGACTCCGTTATACCCAGGTTTGGACGGTCAGGTCTTGACTCCAATTTGGAAAATGACTGGTTTGCTTTTGGCTTCCCTTTCAAACAGACCCCCAAAAAGGTACAAGGCCTCTAAAAGACTTGACACACACACACACCCAGGTGGTCTTGATTGATTTGGAGGCTAGGAGGTGGTTTGCCCATTTGCCCACAAGAACCAGGGTTTAAATAAATCCCCGAGCCACCAAAGAGTCAATCACATGGATTGCCCTTCCCGAGAAAAGGCCGAGCACCTGTTGCAGGATGGAAAAGCCGAATTTTCATCCAAGAGTTCCTTCTGGGGCGATTCGGTCACACCCTTAAGACCAGCCAGATTGAGGGTCAATGTTAACCCCGGATTAATAATAAGCCTTCTTTATTCACAGAGGGTGTTCCCCTCCAACAGTGATGAACCCGAACCAAACCCAGGGACAACCTATCAATAAAATCTAATACATAGTGGTTGATTATTCGTGGGCTCAGACAAGCTGCCGCCCACAAAGTAGAAGCTCCAGAGCCCGAAGAGCACCGCGAGCTTCCGCGCGTCCACACCCACCTCAGCGCGCTCGATGTCGTCCAAGCGGGAGCGCCGGCAGCCCTTGCGGAGGTAGATCATGCTGATGCGGCCCAGCGTGGACCCGATGTCCTCAAGCCAAAGGATTTCTCGTCTCGGCTTGGAAGTTGGACACCTTTGAGCGTGGCATGTCATGAATCCCAGTGCAAAAGTCTGGCTGGGAACTGCCAAGATGTGTGCGGCGGTCGAATATCAAATTTGGAGCTGGCTGGGTGATGGCTCGAACTTGGTGAGTGTGGCATGAGGCACGGTCGAAATTACTTACGGCCGTTTCGCTTAGTTGGAGAGTCTCGCGTTTCGTTTTCCAGCGTTTCAATCCATTTCCAGGCGCATCCGTATCGATTTTTCGAGATGTCATCAGTTCCAAAGCTTTGGTGTGCACGCCATCGGGTGACTGTAACGCATCCGGGCTTGGGGAAGTAGGATGGATGCGCCTGACTTCGACTCTCAGCCAAACGGCTTGGATGTGGCTCTTGTGGATCCATCCCTGGATACTAGAAGAGTATAAAGGATTACCAAAAGATTACAAAAAAGGGACCAACAGGGGGATTAACAGGTGAAATCCACAAAAGGCGCATCCAAACAGTTTTCTAGAACTGCATGCGTGCTGATTTTCCCACGCAATGCCCCAGCCAACCAAGCCAACCATCGCATAAGGTGAGTCTCAGCGATATGATCTGTGGAACACAACAAACTCGGATCGCATGGACAGCTAAGGGTGACACATTCTACAAGGAGTCTAGCTCTGCTATCGCGACATTTCCCCTGCGCCTGGCTGTCCTCACATCCCCTGCTAAAAGCGAAACTCTTAGTGGTGAATGTTGACCCAGGATTAATAAACCCGTCCCATTCTTCGGGGGTGTTCCCTCCAAAAGTGGTCTGACTCCGACTAAAAGGGGACACCCCCCAATCAAAATCAACCAGGGGTTCTGCTTACTCCGGGGTTCGCAGTACTAAACCCTGGCCAACCTAAGGAACTGGATGAACCGCTAGAAGTTGAGGAGCTCTGTTTGGGGTTGGTCAAAAGCCAAACAGGCCAGGTCCTACACCTTGGCCGTACAAACGAAACCATTGCAAGCTGCTTCAAAGGGTTTCTGCATGTACCAGGTTGTCTTGTTAAGAGGGTACCCTTTTTGGGTTGCTGTGAACGGACGGGGCCCTGCTTTAAAACGCATCCGCGTATCCTTTGTAGGGACGGTCTTTTCGAGAAACACCCTCGGGTCGAAGAAGAGTGCCCGTCATCTAGCCGGCAAGTCGCGGTGACCGTGCCTGTGACGTGCGTGGTTCGGACGATGGCGCCGAAGTGAGAGGTGCACATGGCCTCGCGCAGAGTTTGCCCGGGCAAGGTGAAAGCGTTTTGCTCCTGCAGCGCTATTGGCAGAGTTCCCCTCCTGAGCGTGCGCGTTTTTCACGTGCTGAGAAGTTGAACTATGTTTGTTTAAATGTTAGCTGAAGTGTAAAGAAATGCGATTAGACAGAACATGCTGTGCAAATTGTCATTGCAAATAGAATCATTCAAATCTAAAATTTATTGTAGCACAGAAGTGGCGTTTGGATTCATTCCTTATCAAATTATGAGTCAACTCTAACTTGATTGTATGTTCCGTGGGAAAGACTTCTAAATGGAAGATGTAACTTCCAGTAGGATTCCGATCAAGTATTTCCTATTGAATCCCATTTAAATCCTATTCAAACTCATTCAAACTGAAATTAGAGAGCAGCCGTTGGTGGAGATGTGAATTGAGTACGACAAATGCTGACCATGGTAGTGCTGGGGCGGCTGAGGTGTGTATTTTGTTGCATAGCCCTGGCATCCTGGCACAGCCTGGCGTGCATGAAAGGAGACACTACAGTAACAGACAAAGGTTTGGGGTGGGTTTAGGGTAGTCCGTTTAGGGTAGTCCATAAACACAACCACGACTGCAGCCAATTTTTAAACCACCCTAAACCCATCCGAGACCAACCCCAAGAAGCCCCACCATAAACCAGCACCAACCATCCACCTCAAGCACAGCCACCCCCAAATTTGCTCTGGAGCCAAGCCTGAGCCAACCTGGAACCCACCCTAGACCCAGCCAACCAAAGCCTGGTGATGCTGAGGATGTTGAAAACAATGCTGAGGATGTTAAAACGATGCCGGGCCTTAACCTACCCTAAACGGACCTACCCTAAACCTACCCTGAACCCATTCCAAACCTTCGTCCTACCGAGGCGCCAACCAAACAACCAACCAACCAACCAACCAACCAACCAACCAACCAACCAACCAACAACCAACCAGGGTTAGCTCTGTGCCAGGGCTAGGCAAAAAAAAACACCCTTTCCGTGCTGGGGCTAGTAAACAAAAACCAACACGATGTCGGGACCTCTGAATCCTTCTGAAATCTACTTAATATCTTTGTCAAATTATACTCAATGTCTTTATGAAATTAAATAGAATTTGTTAAGGGAAGACTCCAATCTCTTCTATTTTAAGATTGACTTGTAAGTTATTATTACTCTATTTACAAATCATTAAGCATCTAAACAACATGCATTAAACATTGTTGGGACTTTCTTTAATCAACTTTATTTGATATATAGTTGTCAAGTTCTATTTAATATCTATCTCACAATAGTTAGAAATCAATAAGGAAATAATCCAAACAATGTCTTTAGGATAAAGTATAATTTAGATGATGAGTATTATATTTCAATATAAATGCTGCACAGGATCTCCTGTCCAATCAAATTGTCTTTGCAAATTGTTTAACAATTTTGGGGCCTCTACGTTCTTTCTTATGAACTCTACTTAATATAATTTTCAGGTTCTACTTGCATAGTTCCAACTAAAATTAAGAACAATGTAATAAGGAACGAGTTCAACCAAAGCAAACGATCTCTATCTTACTGTACTGGGGCTTGGAGGTGAAATGTACCAGCGCACTTGATCACATAAGCTCTTGAAAACAGGCCGGAAACGGTGCAGTACAAGAAACAACTCGAGACAACCAAAACAAATCATATTCCCCCCCTCGCCCCCACCCCCAAGTAAGGACAGCTGATGTCCTTTTTGGTTGTTTTTTGAAAACCCCCCCCCCCCCGCGAAAAAAAAAAAAAGAACCAACAACAGAAAACAAATAAAACAAACAAGTCAGGACAGCTGGCATAGTCTTGGTTTGTTTGTTTGGTTTTTATTTGTTTTTTTTGGGATCGTTTGTTCTTCTGTTGTTTTTGTGTTTGTTGGTTTGAGGGGTTTCACACTTGTCCAAAGAAATGCAAAACCATGCGTTTCCTGAAATAAACATATCATATAATCAAGCGCACGCTCAGGGTGACCTGTTCTGTTTTAATAAACTGGGATTGATAAATGTATGGGCTCAACATTACCGGTCTGAGACTTGCAACTCTTGGCTGGACAGCACACTTCCCACAAAGCTGTTGGTCAAAGATCCGAGCTAAAAGCCTTCAAGTGGCGTTCTGCAAGCCGCAGGCGCCCGCAACCAGGCACGCCGGGAGCAGCCTGCCAGGGATGAACGCGGCCTCGACGAGGAGGCAGGAGTTCATAAGCAGGGCCAGGCCGTAGAAGGACTTCCCTCCAAAGTGCACCTGAGCCACACCAACTCCAGGCATGGCTGTGGATCAAAATTAAGGAGCTAAGGTTACGCAGGATGAATTATTTCTAGGGAACCGACTCAGGGACCCTCGAAAAATGCCCACCAACCACCTGGGAGGGTAGACTCTAGGGATGAATTCTAACTAGGGACCCTGGGAATGATGTCTAGGTCCTCCAGATTTGAGAGGGTAGAATAAGGGTGCCAGATATTTTTTCTGCAGTCTAGTCTAGGGGAACCCTCCCCCCAAAAAAAGGGTAAAAGGGCAGTACTGGGGGACCTAGTCTAGGTATGACTTCTAGCTAGGGACCCTCGGAATAATGTCCACCAACCACTTGGGAGGGTATTCCTGAATAGAAGTCATGCCATCTAGTCTAGATGCTAGAAACCCTCTTTAAGGGGAGTCCCTCTATTTCCACATGCTTCCCCCAAAAGTCACCTGACTAGCAACGCCCTATCTTACCGAAAAACGACTGTCGTGGGGCTGCCAACAAACAGCCTGCAAAGTTCAAGTTTGCTTTTGGGAGAATTGCTTCCGCTTCAAAAAGCCTTTTGCCCCGTCTAAACCAGCGCAAAACCTCCGAAGGCGCCTGGTTCTTGTCAATGAGCAGGCCGCACGTGTAGGCGCCCACCAGAAACGAGAAGACTAGGAAGAAGGCCTCGCGGAAAGTCTCCGAACCGAACTCCCCCTGGTGGTACCCCTCCAAGCGGAAGGCCATGGCGGACGTGCTGCCCGTCACGTGGGACGCATACCTTCGCTCGAAGACATGCGAGCTTTCTCAGACCTAAAGGTCTGTACAACAGGAATCAAAACGGGTATTCGACCTCCGCCCCTAGGGCAGGGACACCCGTCCAGGAACCTTCACACTCTGCCGGCCAGAGACGAGTGCCTGATGGCCAAAAGAAGTGGCAGCTACCCTGCACGGACCGTGCCTCTTCTTTGGCAGAACGTGCAGTTCAATGAAACCCTCAGGACCTATTCAGCTCAAGGAATCGGAGCCACATCTCTTCTGATCGGCCAACAGCTACAAGGGAAGAATTGGAAAAAATCCTCAAATTGATCGTCTAAGTGCTTCGTTGCTGTAATAATGTCTCTGCGAAAAGTTTACCGTTTGTGGGTTTAATGGAAAGCCCGATTTTAGTTTAAAGATCCAACCCAAAAGGAATCAAGTGATTCAAGGAAACATCAACCCCTAAAATGCAACCAAAGAATCCGAAAACACGGGAAGCACACACCAAAAGACCAAGGGGTGACGTTTCAACATATTGATGTGTCTGTAATTTTGCTTTTGGGGCTTTGAATGGAAACCAGAAGGGCAACCTACCATTTTGGGGGTGAGATGGGTGAGTCAAAATCGCTTTGACGCCTCACATTTTGCAACCCACGCTGCAAGTTCCAGCTCTTTAAGGCGATGACGTTGGCAGCACCGGCGCAGGCCGCCAGACACCAGCCGAAGCCCATGACCCAGAACTTGGGCCGCTGGAAGCTCTTCCGGATCTGGGCCGCCCTCTCCCTGCAAACTGAATGATTCACCCAACCGTTCCGCATGAGCAGTCCATGCCGCAAAAAGTAATTACCTCGAGTCTCCATGACCCTTTAAAAATGGTTGGTCATTACCCAAAATAAAGGAGTCATGGACCCATTTATATTTCGGGTCATGGAGACTCCAGGTACATCCTGCAGCAATACTTGCTACAAGTTGGTGTGTCTGTTTCTGAGAGTACTTGCTTGTGTGGTTTTGAGGGGAAACCGAAAGGAAACAGCCCACTTTGCCCCCCAGAAGAGACGCCCACATGATTGGTTGGCTCTACGGACAAAAGCCTTCGCGACAAATGCATCACTCCCAGCCGCGCCGATTTCTGTTTTATGTGGGTCACAAGGTTCGCCTGAAACCCGCAATCGCGGGGTGTGTGTCTTGAGGGCTTCAACACCCCGAGGGATGCTTCAATTGGTATCCCTTAACCACTCCACATCCAAGTAGCTTACCTTATTTTGCCGGTTTGGCCTTCCTTCAATTCTCTTTAGCAAAATGGTAACTTGAGGGTAGCTTGGTGGGGATGCGCATTTTTCACGTGTTTTTCTTAGGGGGGTCACAGGCTGCAAAGCCAGCTGAAAGCAGCTCCGCTCGGCTTCAGCAGGGGAACTCTTCAAGCCTGCGCCCTTGGACACAAGTCGACACCGCCCGCCTCTTGGTATTCTGCGAGCCCGGAGAGAGCGCCTTCTCCTTCAGCGTGTGCGTCATGGCTCGCGCTGTCGTTAACCAAAAATGGCTGCGGAGATCCTGTCCAACCGCACCGACGGTTTATCCCCCCTGCAGGTGTTTGCTATCCATCCGCAGTAACCCCCAAGAAAACTTCAAAGGTTTGGGGGTTCCGGCTGTTGGCTTCAAACTAGACTGGGGTGAAATAGTAGATGGCACACTTCCCTTGTGCAAGTGAGGACAAACAATATAAAAAAACAAATTCGGCTCAATTGTGCCATCTGGGTCGGTCTTTTTAAGGGTACCCCCCTAAGCCAAACATGTACTCCCAAAGCAAACATGGTGATGTTGCTCTTGGCTCAAAGAAAGGGAGTACCAACTCTAAAACCCGACTGAGCTCCGGGCCACATCAGCCTCGAGCAGGCAGTCGAACTTGGCCCGCACGCGCGCCTAGCCAGAAAGCCGACCCCCTGCCCAAGGCAGGGGTCCGCCTTTTGGGTCAAAGACTTGAATCTAGGGTACCTCGTCTGCGACAAGAACCACCAGGTTAGTGGAACGCCCCCAAATTGCGGGATAAAAAGAAGAAGATGGCTTAAGCAAGGGATTGGCCCAGGTCCTTTGTACACATTCTTCTGTTTTTGGGAACGTTCCCAAAGGAGGTTGGCGAATGGCTTAAACCAGGGATTGGCCCGGGTCCTTGTTACATGGCTGTGGCTCAAAAAACCGGTACCACAATGGCTTGCCCTGGTAAGTGGAAACATGGGTACCAAAACCTGCGGTTTGCCCCTGTTTAAGTTTGAGCCACACCCACATGTTCCTCCCTCATCTTCTTCTTTGGGAGGGTTAACTTAAAGGACTGGGTCCCCCAAAAAAAACGGCGAGGGTCTCATCGCCAGCCTTACCCAAATGGTGGGCGTTTTTTGTGTTGTTTTCGGCGAGTCTTTGCTTCGGCGAGTCTGACTCACAGGTGGGCACCCGTGCGTTTTTTGGGACTCAAACAGAGTCAAAATGTCAAAAACAAATCAAATGTCGACTACACACACAACCAAATGTCGAATTATGATGTATCTAACACAGTTAATGCCAGTCAAAACCCAACACTCAACAGAAACAAAATGTCGACCTTGTATCTAACACAAGCTGCCGCGAAGAAACATGCTGGCTGTCAAGCAAGTCAAAGAAACAACACACTGGTAATTCTTGAAGAAGTCTGCCCTAAACCATGTAAACATACTTACATTTGCTGAAGCCGCCTAGAAAAATAACATTCCAGTAGCGATAGATTCTTTTTAAAACCAACAACTATATTCTTGAGAAAACGGAAGGACTGGGAAACAACCAGGGCATATGGCACCTTGCAGGGTATCAAGCGCCAGCGCTTGAATCGCCCAGCAAATCGTAGGCTTTCCAAAACAACCCGGGGCGATGAACCGGCAAACCACGTGAGACCCGTATCTCAGTACTCGAGCTCCTCCCCGAATGAACATGGAAACCACAACTCCACTGGTAGAGAACATAGACACAAGTTCCAGGGAGGCAACCCCCAGCACGTTTGCTCCAACTCTCCCCCCCTTTCCCGCTTAACGCGAGACAGCTTCCACGCGGAGACGCGCCCCCACGCGACTTGACGTCGCCTGTCGGCTCAGGCGGGCCGAGTCCAAAGTGCGCATGGACTCCTCAGTCTCGGCGGGCACCAGCGAATCGGTCTTCACCAGCAGCCTCGAGCCGAACTTCGCGCGGCGCACCCGAGTGAGCAAAGCGGGAAGCTCCGCCCATTTTTTCGGCCCAGGGAACCTGAGCCGGGTTAATCCCCCATAGGCCGGGAACCGAGAACCGGGGATAGTCCCGGGAAACGATAAACTCGGACAGTGCAGAGGTAAACGAAGAACTCAAAGCAACATCTATCCAGTTTCAACCAACCAAATGATTCTGCACTGAAACTGGTGGTTCGGACTACATTCAAACAAGATCCGGTTTCCCCAGGTTGCTCGGACAGTGAAACTACTCGTTTCCTGGTTGACCTAAAAGGGGCATCGCCTAATGATCTGTCAGGCGCGCAAATACAACCAGCTCTGTATCTACAGGTGTTGGGGCTGAGCACAAAATTCTACAAGCATACCCTCCCAGGGCACACCACAAGGAAAATGGTCCAAAAAGGACCACCCGAACGTGAGGTTCCATGTTCATTGGTGGGAGGGTAAGTACCTACTTACCCTCCTTTCTCAAAGGGCACCTCTAGAGGCACCTGATCGGTGTCCTTTTTCCTTTGAACCCAATGTCAAGTGCTGTTTTCTTCAGTGGCAGGGAGGACACAAATTTGCTGCGGGCGAGCGGGAGCTTTGCATGCATGGAATCAACTGCGCAGGTTTGCGGCTTTGTCATCGGCTATGGGTTTCTTGTAGGCTGAAGGCTCAGGGAGCATGCTCCTGCGGCAGAAGCGTACTGACACTATGTTGCAAATCACATGTGGATAAACAAAAATAGAAACATGATGGCTACACTCCAGACCTATTCCAGAATGCCACGAATATGCCCGCGAGTGTGCGAGCACCTGTTGCTTAGACAGGAACAAACACAAAGATTCACGGGCTCATTGTAAATCCAAGTAATTCCTCTCACCATCAAACAGCAAGGACCTAATGGTCCAAACCAGGACCCCTGTCAGGTTCCATGTGGCAATTGGCGGGAGGGTCACCCCACCCCACCCCACCCCACCCCACTCCACCCAGCCCAGCCCAACCCAGCCCAGCCCCCACCCCACACCACCCCGCCCCACCCCAACTTCCTTGCCCCAAACCCACAGGACACAAGGGAGCCCCCAACCAAAAACCTCGACGTAGCGGGGTCTCCATGGGTTTTCCGGAGCCAGTTCATGCCGCGAGAAATGGGGTACGAGCACCCTGGTTGGAGTTGTGCTCAATGGAACACAAAAGGAAAAACATATTTATTTGCTTTTGGCGGGAAGGGGGGGAGGTTTCCGATTTGGGTGCCAAGTATGTGTGAAGGTCGGGTTGCTTTCCATTGGGTTTCCTTTGCAAAGCGTCCCTTGCCAAGGTCATCTCAACTAGGTCCTCCAGAGAGGCTAGAATAAGGGTACCAACCTTTTCCTGCAGTCTTTTCTAGTAGGGGAACCCTCCACCCCAAGAAAAGGTTGGGTGAGAAAGGGCACCATTCGCTGGGCCTCGTCAAATCCATGAGCCCCGTATCCCAACTTCGCCTGCAGAGGACCTCCTTGAGCGCGAGCTCCGTGGTACTCGCCGTCTCCGACAAATCCCTCGGAGGAATGGAAGATCCCCGCTGACTGGGTTGCTGCAAGGACCCGGCAAAAAGTTCTTCACTTTTTGGGGGGTCAGTGGAAAACACCTTCATTTCCCCAAAGAGGTAAAGTCCAAACATCCGTTGCCCAAAAGCAGTCAAGTTGAAGCACTTGGAAAAGCAGAAAAGCAGCGCCCACCCATGAAAAGCCCATGGGATCTACTCAAATGCATATAAAGTCACGTGGTTTGTTTTCAAAGACAAAAACACATGCCTTGCTATAACCCAACAACATGTATCAGTAGCAGGAGCTACTAAAATCACCAATAAGGATTTCAGGCGATGCTCAGGGTCTATTTGTCGCCTCCTTTGTACGGGGTGTCCATGCCCCCCGTGGCTGCAAACTTGACCAACTCACTTCCCCAAACCTGTTGCTTGCCACTGGTCTTCCCAAAAAAAAATATTAGGTTCATGCACTCGCAAAGTGAGCTAATCAATGATGTTGCGGGGCATTGAATCCCTATTTGGGGATTTAAGCATCCCTTGCCTCCCCCAATGCCCAAGTTGACTAGCAAAATCGATGCTCGTGATGTCCAGAAAGCTCCGGATGAGTGTCGTTGAGGTTTGCGAGTCATTGGATGCCCCATGCCGAATGTCTGTGACATCGCCGGGAACCTCTCGTGGAATCTGAGGATAAACAACCAGGATAACATACCGAAGCCTAAGGCTTCCAGGCTTTGTCAGGTGAGCCATAATCCTAAGCCGGGTAAGTGAAGGTTGGTAGGGGATAATTTATCCCAACCAAACATGGGTGCCGCCGCCTTCTCAATTATTCAAATGTTTCTGGGTAGACCATTAAATACCAGGTTTTGATTGTGACTCAAGGCAGGACCCGCAAGCCGGTCAAACATGCGCGGAGGATTACTCCTGGTTGATCCAAACTCCCCCGAATTGCGCCTTTTGCCTCTCCCTCATGGGCATGAACCAATGCCGCAAGCGATTTCGAGATGAACATGTAAACGTAGTCAGCAGAGGTGTGGCAAAAGTGCCTGTGCATCTCAAAATCTTAAACCCAGGGCTGAAGCAGTCCAAAGTGCTTCAAAACAACTCTAGAAACAACAAAGCCGCAGATCTTTGCATGATTTTTGCAGGCAGTTCCAGTTTTTTCCACAAGCGCTCTATCGGAAGAGATGTCCTCTATACTGGCCCAACCAAAATGCCAAGTCTGCTTTGCACAGAAGACATATGCCAGCTGCAAAGGTAAAGCAGAGCTGAAAGTGATCCCACATGCAGCATCTTGTCTAAAATGCAATCGGCGAAGGTTTCGGCAATCCCCCGACACATGTCCGCACTGCTTCACTTGTTTCATCCCTGAAGTGAGTTGCAATCAATGCTGCCTGGTATAAGTGATCAAATCACGGCCGCGCCCATTGGTTAGCTGTCCAGTACCCTCCAACTTCCTTCAAACAAGACTAGGTCCTCCCGTAGAGAGGTTAGAATAAGGGTACCCTATTTTTTCTCTGTAGTCTATTTTAATAGGGGAACCCTCCCTCCCAAAAAAGGGCAAAAGCGCACTGCTGGGGGACCTAGCCAAACCAAAGGGGTGTCTCCCCCCGCGCACCTGGCAGGTGTTGATTCTTTTTGTGGGCAGGTTCCTTCCCAAGTGTTTCCTGTCACCCTCCGATCCCATCCCCCGGGAACCCTTGCCTCTGCTTTCTTTCGAGTTGGCTCGTCATGACCTGTCCAGTGGCTCTCAGATGCCAAGTGGCCATGGGCAACTGCGCGGCTTCTTGAAACTGGCACTACGGCCTCCAGATTTGAGAGGTTAGGGTTTAGGCTACCAACCTTTTTTTCCTTTTCTGCATATTTTAGTAGGGGAACCCTACCCCCCCACAAAGGCTAAGAGGGCACCTAGCTGAGGGGCCTAGACAACAGTAGACAAAGCAGAAACATGACAGACTGAACACAAGCATAGTGCCACCGGAGGACTTGCACCTGCATCCATCAAAAACCGGAGAACACCCTACCGGAAAAACAAATCGGACAAAGTGCAGACAAGAAAAATAAACAGCAAAACCTTAGGAAATCCAGAAACAAAACAAACAATCCAGGGGCTTCATGGGAGATGCCACCGTTAATTTAATTCACCACTATATTAAATATATATAGACATATTACCTAACACCCCTTTGCCAGAAACCTACCTTTCTCCTCTCCAGTTCATGATTTGCCCATCCAGGACTAGAACGAAGGTTCTCTCATCTAGAACCAGGACCAAACTAGACCTAGACGATTTACCTCTGATTCCTAAAGTAACTGAATTGCAAGTAGAGTGTCTTCTGTAATGTCCTTTATACCTTCTAATTAGTTCAGTAGACTAGAACAAACTAGGACTAGAGCCAATGACCTCTCAACTAGGACTAGAACGGGACCAAACTAGGACTCGACGATTTAACTCTAGTTCGCGTAGTATGTAAATTTCAAGTATCATTTTCTTGAACCAACTAGGGCTAGGAAAATCACGCATTTTTCAACTAGGACTAGAGCCGAGGACCTCTCAACTAGAGCCGAGGACCTCTCAACTAGGAATCAACCTAGGACCAAACCCTGAATGAACCACTCGAACTTTTAACCGAATGAGAACACTTGTGTTGTTCAACAATTCCATGGTATTTGCCTTTTCTTGCAGCCTTTCTTGGGGGTTCGGGAAAGCCTAGAGCAAACCACGGCGTATTTTTCAAAACTGTCAAGCCTCAGGCCTGAGATCTACAGTGAATCAACTCAGTGACCAAATGGCCATGGGCTTTTCAAAACCCAAATCGCACCAGTGAACGGGACCCAATCCGACCACTAAAATAGGTTCTAAAATGGGTGCACTTATCCCAAAATGGGATCCCAAAACGGTTTTGAAATCATGGCCAAATGTCAATTATTTTGCCCTTCCCGAGTGAAACCGAATGAAACCACATGAATGTCCAGTCGGTTTCACTCGGGGCCCGGATTGAAGTCAGGCGAAACATTTCTAGGTGGAGTTTGAATCTTGCATCTTGGATGCTTTCCCCAAAGCCCACACAAGGAACTGCAAATACCAGTGATTTCTTTCTGTTTTTTTAGGTAGGTTTTTTAGAGGGTACCATATATACATGGGTATACATGCCGCTTTCCTCCGGGCGTAGCAGGCTGGTTCCAAACAGAAACCGTAGCACCTGGTATCTGCGGCTCCCCGCTTCACACGATGAGATACTCCTAAGGCTATACACTAAGAAAGTGGCTTCTTGCCTGATTATTCAGTTGATCATCTGATGCTCATGCTAGCCTCCAAACAACTCCCATTGTGAAGGGAGCGTTTCGCTGATTCTGCCATGTCCCTGTGCAGACAATCCTGCGCCTTCAAATCGCGAGGATTCGACCAGAAACAGTTGACACAGTGCCACAGTATCACCCTCCTTGCGCACGATTTTGGCCTTCCAATTATTTCTGACTTGCTGCGGGAATAGGCCGAGCAAAGGGCTAAGCTGGCTCCTGGAACTGGTTTCCACCCGGTCGCACGCTCTGGAGCCCGGGCGTTATCGATGAATATCGCCATGATGAGATTGAAAATTCCCACGGTGACCTTGGACAGCAACAAACAAAGCAGAAGCAAACCTTCCCGAAAAGCGGCTGAACATTTCGAAAAGCAGAAATATACTGAAAGCAAAGGAGGGTGACTGATGAGCACGGCTGCCTTGCGTGACAGGCAGCATTGAATCACATTTGGCCCTTCCAGCTTGCCGGCGCATGCGTGCGCACACAACTTGGTTGCTGTTAACCCCCCTGCAAAAAGTTTAACTTTTTGGGGGTTTAGTGGAAACCCCCTTAATTTCCTAAAATGTTAAAGTCTAAAGATCCAACCCAATAGCAGTCAAGACAAGCGCACACAAGCGCGCCACAAGAGCCGTGTGCTCAGCCCAACCCCCGACCGGGAGCGCTGCCAGCATAAACACTAAGATGTAGCCCATGAAGAAGACCATGCCGTACTTCTTCCGCAGCCTCTCCTAGCAAAAACAAGGGAAGCACTTCTCTCAGGCGTCGCGCGTCGGCGCACCCAAAATGGCACGAAACAATGGAAGCCGACGCTCAGAAGCGAAACAACTTGAGACATCCACAGCGAACGCGCACGCTCAATGCGGATAGCGTGGATGTAGGGCAGCAGCTGCCAGCCAGCCGCAAGAAGATGTGATGGCTCCGGAGCCCGAGAATGCCGAGAAATGCCGCTTGTTGCGCTGCTAAGACTATGCCTCTATGACTGCATGATTGACACGTGCTGCAGCATGGGCGGCGAAGCTGTAAAAGGACAAAGACTGGCGAGAGTCAGATGCTCGCAAGCTGTCCGACCAATCTTCTCCCAGCCAGCAGAAACAGCTCCTCAAACCTCCCCGGAAACCTTAAGATGTTTGTGCAAAAACAACTGAACAAAACAAACAATGGCGAGAGTACAGCACAAGTACCTGGCGTGTCGTCAACATCGAACGTCTGAATTCCTGCTGTTTCCTGGCTTCTTCGAGTAAAGAGACTAGAGGGAGCTTTCTTGGCCCGGGATTGGTTACACCCCGGTCCCGTGTTTGCGTCTAAGCATGATTAACTTCACCTGACGCATATCCTAAGCAAGACAAAGGCGCGCTCGCAACCCTTAACTCAGGAGGTCCCCACGGCAAGCCGCAAGCGTCTTGCCGTCTTTGGCGCAAGCCGCTCCCGGAAAAAAATACACTCGCCATTCCCTTGCTGGCTGATGCTCGTCAGACCATACTCCAAAGGGCAGCCTTCGTTTGCCTGACATGGAGACCAGCAATGTTCGCCCATTTAGTATGAGTTTTGGCTCTGCCCTCTGGTTGTGGGACTTGTTTCAAATGGCATGCCCATGTTAGATGGACTTATTTCGAGTGGGTCGGATCCACCAAAACCTTGATCCGAACGCACACACCGCAAAACACGGGTGAAGCCACCTTCGAGGGTAACTTGCATCTTCAGTTCTTCTACACCTTTTCTCGAAGCCGGGGCAGCATGCCGCTAGCTGCCACATTGGCCCAAGTGCACTCGAAGCCACCAAGACTCCATCGAAACAAACCAAAAAGGCGTAAGTCCTGAGCAAGGTGTGCGAGCTCCTCGACAATGTGCCAAAACCCCGAACTTAGGGGGTGGGTCTTCACACGCAGAGAGCAGCACATTTCGTCTCCTTGTCCAAATGGCGCGAGAGGATTTCTGTCAAAATGGCTTCCGTTGAGTGTCGCTTCCAGACCCAGGCTGCTGCCCTCCCACATGGATGTTGCCCAAACATGGTCAGAGATTCACTTCCCATCGAGTGGAATTCGCACAAAAACAAAATCGAACTTTTCAGTTTACCACTAGGTTTTAGAGTCCAGAAACTCAGGCGTGAGGATAATGTCCCAGGTTTCAGGGTACTTTGACTTGGTTGACGTTGGAGCAGTGAAGTGGTTGGGTTTCAACCACTCAACCACAATAAGCAAAATGTAAAATGTTTCCCAACAGTAATTATCCTCACGCCCGAGTTTCTGGACTTTAAGCTTTTTGGGAAGACCATTTTCGTGGTAGATTGAAAGTTCGCTTAAAACAAAATGCGAATCCACTCGAATAAGGTCGAGTGTTACTTATCAACAACCATGCTTTGAGGGTAAGGGCAGTGTGGGGATTTCCCACTCAACCACAAGAAGCAAAAATGTAAAATGCTTCCCAGCAACAACCAGGCTTTGAGGGTAAGGGTCACAAGCCTCTTCGGACAGACCCGTCAAGACTCCAGCGCCGTCCTGCAAGGGCGTGCCATCGTAGGCCGCGCAGCCGTCCGTGAAGCAGCGGAAGAGCGTGAACATGGCCGCGACCAGCGAGCCAAACTCCTCCGACAGCCAAGAGAAACCGGGCGTGGCGATTTTTTGACTAGGCCCTCCTGTAGAGAGGTTAGAGTAAGGGTACCGTCTTTTTCGGTTTAGTCAATTTTAGTAGAGGAACCCTCACCAAGAAAAGGGGCAAAAGGGCACTACTGGGGGACCTAGTTGAGGATACCGGTACCCGTTTTTAAGATGGTTTTGAAGGGAAACCACCCGTTTTAGGACGCCTCCTATTTTGCGAGCAGACTGGGTCCATTCATGTTGAGAAGACATCCGTTCAAAAGTTACCCGAGCTAGATGATGTTTCACTGCAAACAACCCTGGCAAAATTAGTTTTGAGAATCCCTCAAAAGGTTTTCTTTGACTGACCTGTACGAAAAGAGCTCAAGTCATAATCATCGGAGCAGACACTTAGTACTGACATGGCAAGAACAAATGGGTGTGTGAAAACTTGGATTTTGACACACCCAGATTGCGGTGTTCCTTTTGGTTGAACCAACATGAAAGGGGTCATGACACCACTTCCCCTAGCTTGAAGGGACATGGAACCACCGGCCCCATTAATTTGACCACGTATCAAAGTCACGCCCTGCCGGCGAATATGACTTTCCCGAACTATCAATCACTGGAGATATCCAGGGGTTGCTTTTGGCTGTACTAAAATGGTCATAAAGGTTTCGTTTGGCCAAGAACAACCCCCTAAAATTCCAATTGGAAAGCTGAAGTTGGGCGCTGCTTAAGTGGCCCCAAAGGCAAGTCTCCTCCTCGTCCTCGCCTATCAGCTTGTTGAGGGCCTCGGTTGCAACAGCACCCCAATGGTAGCTCTGGCTGTGTGACGGAGCACCCCCCCAGGTCAGAAAAGCTATCAAAGCCATCCAATCTATGCTGCTACTGGTGGTTGTGAGCTACGACCATGCGCATCGAAACGGCAAATGTTGAGATGTGCCGAGTGCGCGGCAACTCCAACGATGTAGATGAAGACAAAGAGGAGAATGATCGCCTTCGGGCAGAATGCACCAAACTCAAAGCCGATGCGATTGAAGCTCAACAAGAAACTAACCGGCTCAATTCTAGGAAGACATCTTCAAGCTCTCCAAATGATTCAAAGGCAAACCACCCTCAGAAGTAGTTTGAGAACTCGCGCAAAGTTTGCTTTGAGGGATCCAGACTGACAGTTGTTTTGTGGCTATCCTGAGACTCAACCGAAGGAAGATGAACCCGTCGGCCTTCCATCTCACGGGTCATGCCTGAACTCAAGCAGGTACATCCTGTGTCAGGGGTCTAAAACCAAAGGTCTGAAAGCTTGGCATAGTTCAGCTTCCCCTTATAGTTGGTTGTTTGGATTTGTTGGTTTGGTGCGTAAGGAGGGGTTTCCCATCTACCCTCTACAAGGACCCGGAAATCCCAAACCACCAACCCAAACCACCAAGGGGTGCCTGAATAGTTCCAACACCTGAAATGGAACATTCCCCGAGAAAAGGACCCACATGCTCAGCCTAGGTGAGCTGACCGCAAAGGCAGAACACATCACAGGCCTGCCTTCCTTTAGCCCTGATCATGCTCGCACTTGCCGCGCTCAATATGCCAAGCCACCCAAATCAAGACACGGATGCCGGAAACGACACCCATGACCATCATATTCAGCTCTCCTGAATTCGGTGTGTGCAGCTTCTCACATCGGCCAAATGAGTTTGTCCCAAAATAGGGGATTCGCCCAAAATGGCTGGCTTCCTTTTGGATTCCCTTTAATTCCAACCAAAAGGGAAGCCCTAAAACAAGACAGACCCAAATGGCTCCCCGCCCAACAGTCAGTCTTGTCAGACCCAAACAAACCAGCTTTATTGCCTTCCAGAACCCTTTTGTCCACTTGCATTATTTTGCCCGGTCCAGTGCCTGAGTCACGGCAAAGTCACGGCAAAGTCACGGAGTCACCTGTTTCCCTAGAAACTGAGTCCCAAATGGACCATCTTCTACTGGAAATGTTTGACCGCACCTCACCAGTCGTTTGTTCCAAAAGGTTCTCCTGCTTGCAAGCAGTGTCCTTTCGCAGGGTTTTGGGCCGAAACCACAAGCCCTGTGTGTGTGTGTGTGCGACCCCAGCTGCTTTTGGACCCAACACCCAGAAGAAAGGTAGATGGTCCGGATTGTAAAAACGAACAGGTTCCCTTCTGGGTACGTGTCAAAATAGAAATCCCGTGATGCGCCCAAACTGGATCAAGTGTCATTCTGGTTTTCCGTTAGAACCCATCCTCAAAGAAAGACACGCAAAATGGTGCGCCTTGTTTGTTGTAGCTCAGGGGGAACCAAAGGAAAATCAACCGCCCTACGGGTGCTGTTGGCGCTCCCGGTACACCCCGAGTTGCTGGGAAGACTTGTGGCCCCACATTCTATATCGATTGGACCCACAAAATCAAAATAGATGGGTGTCCTTGGTCACGGGGCATAAAACCAATCCAACCCATAGGAACCCCGTCTATTCCTATCCACCTAACTTCAAAAAGGAAACCTTTGATGTTGACCCCAGATGCACTCTGAATCCAATCGCATTTCACCCAGGTTGCCACCGCAGAATATAAAACCTAGGTCGTTAGAATAAGGGTACCCACTCTTTTTTTTCCTGTAGTCTATTTTTAGTAGGGGAACCCTTCCCCCCCAAAAAAAACGGGGTAAAAGAACACCTGGCTCCTAGAGAACATCACCCTCCGAAACGGGTCGAGACGGTCTCAAACCTCTGCTTCGCTAGGCCGAGGTGCGGAAGATGGAGTACCTCAGCGCCCGGATCAGCCGAAAGAGGCGCGCCAGCCGCAGCATCTTCAGCAGCATCAGGACGCTTAGGTCCACCGAGCTGCCTCGATCCCAGCCATCCGATCGACGCGGCATCCGCGACGTGCGTGTGCGCGGCTTGCGAGCCTGACCAAGCCCATGAACCCCGCGAAAAACCCGTCTAGTGAGTCATAATCTGTCATAATTAAAACCCGGTTTCAGAGCCCGCTACCCAGAACCATGAGAGTTAAAAGGCGGCGAAGGCATCCAATGGCAAGGATTCTTTAGGAATCTTCATCTTGGGCTGTGACCTGTGGCTCTCAGATCCCCAACTGCAAGCCCTTTGGAACCCCTTCCGCCTTTCTCCGCTTCGAACCCCGGAGAGTGGCCCGGACCCCATTCCAGCTGTTGAACAAAAAATCGCAGCGGGTACCCTTCCCATTTGGCTTCAACAAGAAGGTTCAATGTTTAAATCCCCATTCAAACGCCCAAAGGGTCAGTTGAGATGTTTGAATGGGTGTGTGTGTGTGTGTGCGTGTTGTCACACAACGCAAAGCATGTGAGCAGAGAGCAGCAACGAAGAAGGAAACGGGGGCAACCCCGCTACACGACACGAACAATAAAGGGTTCACAGGGGGGTTCACAACATAACCCGACGCAAAGGGTGATCACCACAGCGAGAAACTAAGGGAAAAGCAAGAACCCCTGCAGTTTGTCTAGGTCCTCCAGTAGTTTGAGGTTAGAATAAGGGTACCCACTTTTTTTCTGTAGTCTATTTTAGTAGGGGAACCCTCCCCCCAAAAAGTTGGGTAAGAAAGGGCACCTAGCTGGAGGACCTAGTAGTCTTTGCGGAAGTTGGGGGCAGAATTCCTCCTCCCCAGGATGCCTTTGGACCTCGAATATGGTCTTTCAAAGCCAGAGACCTCAAATGAATGTGGATCAAAATGAAACAGCTGCAGTCGCGCAGGTTTTAGTCTACCTTTTACCTTTTCCATTTATACTGGGCGCAAATGACTTGGGACTCATGGGGCCAAGGGGGTATATGCAATTGAGATTTCTAGCATGTGTCTAGCCCTTCCCAAGCTCTTCCCGCTCATCGTAATTTACTTTTCCTTGCATTTGCAAATGCTTGTTGCCACGTTTTACCCTCTTTGTCTATTCCAATCTAGGCCGGCTCAGGGTATTTTCAGAGCTTGTAATATTTGTTCCCAGCAGTTCCGCTGCTTTCCGTTTGCAAGAGAGCCGCACGACTTGGGACCTGTAGGTGGGCAAGCCTTGGGAAAGGCAAGGTCCTTACAATGTTCTTTTAACATGATGCAACCCTGCAAAAGGCTCTGTGAAGAACCCATGACACAGGACTTAATCATATTTTCAAGTGTGCAACTTGCACGCTAAGGGTTTCTAGGATTGCCTCATGACTTGGGAACACTCTGGCGGTTGGGGTTGCCCACATACTCCCAAGTCATCTGCACCCAGTATACCCCCAATGTTTGAGCCAAATTCAAAGCGCTCGGAACCCAAGGGGTTGAAAGCGAATCCCTCTGGGGCATCCGCTGGCGCCCATCAGGAACACCGCCTGCCGGGAATCGATGGAATTGGACAAACGGCGCCTGGTGGTCCTGACCGTTTTTCCCGCAAGCTCAAAAGAGGGAAAGGGGTGCCCTCCAAAAAAGACGGCAAGGCCACGCAGTCGCTTCCCAAACCCAACTTTCTTTCTTTTTTCCGGCTGCCACAAGTTTAACCCGGAACATGGGGGAGTGGCCACTTTTGAAGGGAAGGTTTGGCTTTGGATCAACGGAGTCTCCAAATAAGCGGTGGGCACCTGCTACGCCCTACACGTGGCAAACCTGCAAATTCCAATCAAGCTTGTGGTCTGCTTGCAATATTCCGGGCATCCAATGTACCCGTAGGGTGGTCCCCTTCCCCCCCCCCTTCCCCCGCTTGGGTGCTTCTCGGGCTTGGAGCAACCGTAATGTTCTGGCCCTCTGGCCCTCACGCCCTTGGCGCCAGCATGACCCGTTCGGCATGCCCCGCCCTGCCGATCCTGATCCCCTTCCTTCCGCCCGCTTGACCATTCCGTTCGACCATTTCGCTCGACCCTTTCGTTCGCCCCGTTCGCCTGAGTGACGCCAAAGTCGAAGAGCGAGGTCAGCAGGCAGAAGAAGTCGAAGGAGTTCCAGGCCCCCTCGGGGCCGCGGAAGTAGCCGCGGCAGCCCATGAGGTACAACTTCACGCTGGCCTCTGCGGCTGGTGGCTGCAACGCCCCCTCTGCAACAAGTGAAACAACATCTAGGTCGAGAGGTCAGAATAAGGGTACCCTTTTCTTCTGTAGTCTATTTTAGTAGGGGAACCCTGCCCCAAGAAAGGGGGGCACTACTGGGGAACCTAGACATCCCAAAAGGCGGTGAAAACCAAAGCTCGTGGCCATTGGACAACACAAATCGCCACCCAGAGTTCATGGTTGGGCAGCCGAATCAAGCTGCCAAGCCAAGGACAAGGCGTTGCGCGGCATGAGCGAACGAGAAGCCACCAATTGGGTAGCCAACGGCTGTCGTCAAGTCTTGCTGCAGCCTGGTTTTCCATGTCATGGAATGCCAAAAGCGCAAGTAAGTGTCAAGCAGGGACACAAGCAGGGGGTACAAGTGCAGAGACGAGTGGGGAGACGAGTGGGGAGACAAGCTGCGACAAGGTCTGAGTCAGCAAGCACAAGCAGCGAAACAAGTTTGTTTCACAAGTGAGCACAAGTCGAGGAGGCAAGTGGGGAAGACAGCAGGGGTACCAGGAGTAAAACATCTCGTTGGAACCCCAACTGCAAAGCTGTTTGAGGAAAGAGCGCGTCAATCTGCTTCACATTCACGAATCGGGGGCGTTGCTCCACTTGGGGGGGCTGAAAAGGCGGTTCCCAAAACAGCTGTCAAGACAATTTTTGTGGGTACTATCATCAGGTTTCGACTGTGGCTCCACTTGGTGTGAACTCGATTCAACCCAGACCAAAGGGTTCCCTTTTTGTTGCGACTTGATGTCAAACGAACAAACTCAACACATGAGCTAAAAACCGGGCACCATGGCGGCTCAGAAGAGACAGTCGCTTCCCATAGGCTGTGGGTTCAAGCCACCATTAAACCATGGGGGGTCATAGAACCAGTGTTTTCCTAAGGATTGTCACCATCCAAATTGGGTCAACCTGTCTTTTGGGGGTTGAACTGGTTGAAGCCTAGGGCCAAGGTATTCATTTTTCCTGAAAAGAAAAACCCCTGAAAAGAAGTCCTGGTAAACTTCCTGGCCGTCGGTATGGGCTTTGGGAGCCCAGGATTTGCCTCCTTGCCACCAGGGGAGATTTTTGGGAGCACAGACTATTCCCCTTGTACTCACTTGCCCAAAGGAACCGGAAAAACAAAAGGTTAACCTTTTGGGGTGACTAAGACTAGACCAAACCCGGAAAACCAAAAGGTCAAAAGGTCGGCTTTGGGCAAGTAAGTGTATGCTTGGTTGGATGCTTCCTTACCAAGGCAAGCCTGCATTCGATTCGGCTCGGTGCGTTGAGCCCTTGCGAACACTCCCCAAAAATGTGCTTTCCCTTTTACACAACCTCAAACAAAAAGGATACCCCCCCCCCCCAATATAATCCGAAAAGGCAAAAGCCCTACCCACCCACCGCCGCCCCGCCCCGCCTCCAAAAAGTAAAATGCCATGAAGCATGATTCCTCGAACGAGACGAAACGGTACCCGTTTTCCGTTTTCTGGTTTTCTCCGGAGACCAACAAACGCAGCCTTCGAATGGGGGGGGGGGGCCCCTATTCTTTCGGGGGATCGACATGTCGGTCCCCTTATCCTTTAAGACTGCGTGGAAAAAACATATCTATCCGTGGGGATTCGTGTCCAACACCTGATCTTTTGAGGTGGCTCCAATTAATTGAGAAAACAACAACTGGCAGGAGATTGAACATGACCCACCGAAAACACCGAAAACACCGAAAACACACACACACACACACACACACACACACACACACACACACACACACACACACACACACACACACACACACACACACACACACACACACACACACACACACACACACACACACACACACACACACACACACACACACACACACACACACAGAACAAGGTTTCTTGCCCTGTTCTACTGTCCATTTGCTTCGATCCGTTTCCATGGCTCAACAAATTTTTCAGTCGGCTCACCTCCAAAACGATTGGGGAGTGCCACCAGCTGTTCGCTTTCAAAGGTTCTCTGGCGACCCCAAAGAAAATGACCAAAGCAAGGCTGCGAGAAAGGTTTTTTTTTGTCGTTTTACGAATGGCGTCTTAGACGTCTTGCTGGACCAAGCTCGCGAGCTGCGAGATTAGGGCAAGATGGATCCCAAGCAACAGCGGATCAACAACGATCCGAAAGCCAAGTCAAGGGCGTGCAAAGACTTCGGCTAAGAGAGAGGGAGGGTTCCAGCGCCCTCGCCCCTTAAGTCTCTGATCTTAAGGCTCACATGTCATTCGGTGACACACATTCAGATAGCGAATCTCCTGTCCGCACATACTGTCATTGCAGGAACCAAGCACAGGCACAATATGGCAACATAAAAAAAGGTGAAACGGGGAATGCCCCCCCGAATTTGTGGAGGAAGGGGCAAGAAGTGGAAGGGGCGGGCAAGAGGTGGTTCAAGAGGGCCAGACTTTCCGCCCCCCCGGCCCTCTTGAAGCTCCACTCTCCTCCCCTTCACTGATCCGCCCTCCCGCACGCTCAAACCCCTTTCTGAAAGCCAGCACGGATCGGATGACCGCGCTTGGTAAGTGCTAGGCATCCCAAATAAAACACGTCCCCGAAGTGGCTGGTTCTCTACCCAAACCGTAAATACGGGAACCCCTTGTAAAGGTTTAAGGACATTCATGGGTAAATCGCCTGTAGCGCGTTTGTTTGTGAAGGGTGGCAAGACTTGCGTCCACTTACATCCACTTCCTTAAAGTTAACAATTTAAGTGGGTAAACCTATGGCAAATCACTTAATCATATCCACCTCCCGTGTAGACGATTTCAAAAGGTCCTTTACATATAGGATGACCATTGGGGACACCACAAAAAATGATACGGCTTTCACCACAGGTCTCAACGACCCACGGGGCGGTTTCCTTCAAACCGTCTAGCCCTGCATTCCATGGAATATTGAGCAACCTAGTGAGAAATGGAATGACCCTTACAAACAATCCCTTGCAGTTTCCTTTCAGGGAATCACTCATCCCGCTTCTCATTCCCTATTGCCCCCCCGCGAAAAAACAAACACGCGCCGGCCGTGTGCCGTCTGCCAACCGCGCCGAGACAAAGCCGCCGCTCCGGCCGCTTCGGCCGAACCGAAACCGGCGCCGAGGCGCCACGATCTCCCAGGCAGCGTCCCCGGGCACCGCCTCTTGGAAGGCGAAGCTCAAGGAGTTCAAAGTGATGACAATGGCCGGGACCTCCGACTCCCCGGAGCTCCCCGACTCGACTCGACTCGACGGAGCGCGGAGCCGAGTCGCAACCCGGCGAGACGAGCGAGAGCGAGCCGCCGCGCGAGAGCGCTCACTAAAAAAAAGGGAAGGCCAAGGGGGAAACAAACAACAACACGAGAGCGTGTTTAAAAAGAAGAAGAGAAGAAGCACCGCGGAGAAGAAAAGAAGACTGGATGGGTGGGGCGCGTTTTTTAGGGGGTTCCGAAACCCAAGAAACTGGCACGAGGGGTGGTTTTCAGCTTCGGGTTGTCAACTTTCAAACCACCGAAGAGGAGGATCATGGAGGATCACCAAAGGCCGGGAAGAAAAACGCGTCGAATCAACGTGGCCAAAGGCGCCTGGACCAAATCGAGCGTGGGGTCCATGTGGGCGTGCGGTTCTTGCTTTGAAGAGCAACCAAAAGGAATGACACTGTCGACGGACGGTGTGCCCACAGGAAGCGCTTTTGAGGCTTTTGGCGCAACAAAAATCGTTGGAGATCTCCGGTGGGTTCTTTCAGGCACAAGGAAAAACGCGAAATCCTTGTTTGTTTACCCGCTTTTTCTTTGGTGGGGGGGGTCTCAAACCCTCCGAGAATCATGTGGGGTGCAGGCACGTGTGGGAGTCGTCGGGTTTAAGTGGGTGTTTTGGGGCTGCGTATGTGCCGGGCTGGTTGCACAAATTCGTTCCATCCCTCGGTAGTTGTTTGCAGCCCCCCACTAAAAACAAACAGAACCAAACAAAACTCAAAATCTGAAAACATTGCAACAACTGTGAAGATGTCCAAAGCAAACGTGAGCAATCAAAACTGATTACGGGACATGTTTAATCTCCCCTTTGGTCCTTTGGGCCTCGTTCAACGTGAGTTTTGCTTGCGAGGGGTGATGTGTAAAGGGGAAATGCAGGAAGCCCTGTTGAAGAGCACGCAGTTCGTTTCCGTTGGACCAAACGGCACGCTTGGCGCAAGCACAGCTCACAAGCACCACAGATGCAGAGTTGTCGCAGATACGCGGATGCTGGATCTTGGAATCAGCTTTTTCAGCCAAGGACCCAGCGAAGTTTGCAAAATATTCGTAAATGAAGGTGGCCTATGGCTGGGGGACCTAGGCTTTTTGTTGAGGCCCCTTGTGGTAAGAAAAACCCGAAGGAACCCCGTCGCTTCCATTTTGGGGGCGGCTGATTAGGCGAAACGGCGGCGGTTCGCTCTGGGCGTCGGGCAAACTCGAGCCACTTGGCCACGCGCCCCGATGGCACCTGAGAATCAGCACATCCGTTCTTCGCCTTCGGCAGGCCTTTTGGTCCCCGCTGCCGTTGCTTTTGTCCAAAAAGTACGGTACCCTCAAATCCCCCAAAGAGGGCGCCGAGCCTCAAAAAAGCGGCCACAAATGGGTTTTGTCGTTTGTTGAGCGGAATGTGATGGTCACCGTGGCAGGAAGCACGGTCTTTGGGTGGCTCGTCTTTCAGGAATCGGACTCACAGAATGGTGGCTCTCTTCAAAGGCTTGCCTCCAAAGACCACACATACAAGACATAAGTTCCAACAAAAAGTTAAGCCCCAGATCAACGTCGAAGAAAGCCGAGGTTTCAGCCGGACATGTAGATGTTGAAGAAACGCCTGAGATTTTCAAACCTCCAAGCCTTGAGAAGAAACAACAACGAGAGGTGTCTCCTAGAGCCATCGGAGCTTGTGGCCATTGGTTTGAAGAGGAAGCCGTGCTCCAAAGGAATCTGGTGTTTGCGCCTCGTCTTTTCGGAATTTGAGCCCCCCACCCAAAAAAAAGGAGGATATGAATGTACCAGCTTGATGTTGTTTAATGGAAGTTGTGTCAGTTGCACGTCTCTTAAAGGATGTTCGATTCGCCAAGTTCGTGAGTGGGAAACGCAACACCCCCTCACAAGCTTAAGCCCACTGAACAGGGGGACTTGTAAGTGGGTTGTAGCCTAGGTTTTCCAGTAGAGAGGTTAGAATAAGCGTACCCTTTGTTCTGCAGTCTATTTTGGTAGGGGAACCCTTCCCCCAAAAAAGGTTTAAACAAAAAGCACTACTGGGGGACCTAGTAGCCTAGGTTACCAACAACTTTTCTATGAAGTTGGCAACGACCCAAGTCCAAAAGGTATCTTCTGTTCCCGCAGGAATTCTTGTGGACGTGACTTGCTGGTTGAACCCCCAACCTGGCTTCGGCTTTTGTTTTAGTTTTCCGACAGATATGGGGTACCCTCAAACAAACACTCCCAGAGAGGGAGTGCCATCAAATCGAAAGCAAAGGATCCCTCTTGAATGACAGGTTAATCATGCGTTTCCATTCGTGTTTGTGTGTATGCGGGTCTTGGAAGCAGGGCCGTGCAGCAGTTGGAACCGCACTCACCTCAAGAATTTGTCTGGAGAGGCAAAGTGACACAGGAGGCATGACGTGTACCCCCGACTCCCGCTTCGTTTGGGGTATCATGTTAACCTCTGACCAAAAAGGAGGTATCTATGGGTATCATTCTGGCATTGGAAGTTTCACCTGGCGTGCTTTCAAATGGCGTGCTGACCGAACTCCAACACTCATCATTGTATGTCTCGTGCATCAAGGCACTTCTCTGTGCATGAAAGCAGCACCTATCCAAGTAGTGAAAGTGTATCCCTGAGGCATTGAAGAAATCCGCCGATGTGTCTGCAACTATGGCTTCCTTCTGGTATTGCAGAACTACACAACTGAAAATCAAGCAGCGCATTTTATGTGTGCGCACAAAGAACCCTCAAGGATGACCCAAGCAACCTCGGGGCAAACAAAACAGGGACACACCTCCAAGTCTCCAAGGCGGTTCTTTTGTTTTTTGTTTCACCCAGCAGGCACAAGCAGAAGCAACCATGGCGTCCACTGGAGGGCCTTCCAACTGATCGGCTCTCTTTTCCCTTCAGACCATATCCCCTAGTATCCCAGTGGACCTGTCCAGATTTAGATTTGCTCCCCTCCACCCGTTTCCAACAGGTACCCCTTTGCCATTCTCCGGTTGGAAGAAACAACATCTTCTAGCTCCTCCAGTAGATGTACCCGATTTTTTTTCTGTAGTCAATTTCAGTGGAGGAGCCCTCCCCCGAAAAAAGAGTAAAAGGACACTACTGGGGGACTAGTCTTTGGTGCTTTCCAACCCACGGACACGGAACGCAGCAAAACCCCCGGCAGCGCGACAAATCTGGGCTGTCCGTTTTTTCAGATCCCCCGCGAAAAGTTGAAAGCTTTGAGTGGGTTACATTTGGAAACCCCACGAAACACTCAAAGATCTGGCTGGGCTTGCCACCAAGAAAACCTCTTGGAAACATCTTGGGGCCCCTTCACTTGTCGAGTGGTCAAGGATGCTTCTAGCGGTCCATAATTCGCCCCCTCTCTGACATATGCGACGTAGAACACTGGGACACATAACAAAGAACAAGCACGCAAAGCATCACTGAAAAATGTTTGTTTCACAGTAACTTGTAAACCTCGACAATTGCCCTTTTAGTCAGAGTTTAAAGGGCGGTGTCCTTGATTGCCATAGAGAGATGGCATCACTTGGATTGGTGTGACAATTTTGATGAGCAGCAAAAAAGACAACTTGAACTTGGGCCCTAGGCGATAAAGACAATTACTGGGTACATCTCCCTTTTACCTTGCGGGCCAATTCAAAGTGGGGTGTCCTTCAAATTGGAGATGGTCACTGGGAGTTGTGTTCTTCCAATTTGCTGGGACCGCAGCTGCCCAGTTGCTTTGATCCAAACCCAGGAAGACGGCCTTGTCCAACCCCAGATCCGCAACCCTCCCAAACCGACATCCTTTCCAACCCTCCAAAAAAACATTTCACATCGGGGATTTCATTGTTTTAAGGAGAAAACCAAACGGAAAAAAAAAATCACAGCGGGGATTTCATTCTTTCGAAAAAAGAACAAATAAAAGAAAAGAAGAAGAAAACCCTGCAAACAAAGTATACCCTCCAAGAAACATGAGCTCATATTTTGTACACACACACACAAAAAGAAAAGAAACGCAGAAACAACCAATTCTCCCATGGCGGTTCTCTGTGCATCTTCTCACCGAAAAAAAGACGTCGGATCTCTCCTAGGTCCTCCAGTAGAGAGGATAGAATTTAATAGTACCAACTTTCTTCTGTAGTCTATTTTAGTCGGCTTCGGATCCCTCCCCAAAAAAGCTGCCGGCAAAAGGAAGGGCAGCCTTCGCCGGACTTCCGATCTGACCTCCGGGGCGCATAGAACTCCTCGGGGTCCTTCGTCTTCACCGCGTCGGAGAAGAGCACCTGGAGCCTGGAATTCGAGGTGTGTGTTTTGCTGCGCCGCGGCGGGGTGGGGTCGGCTTGTCTGATCTGTTTTTTTTTTTCTTGTAGTTGTTTTCTTTGTGTTGGGGGGGGGTAGGGGAGGTGGTGGAGTCGCTTTTTGTTTGTTCCCGGGGGGTAGGGGGGGTGGGGTGGCTCGTCTTTTTGGAGGGAGTTGCCCTAAAATAATGTGCTCTTTTTTGTGTGCTCTTTTTTTTTGGGGGGGGGCACCCTCTAACAAACTGGCTGGTGCGACAGGTAGGTAGGGAATGACAACGAGTCCGAGTAATTGGGTCATGAACCGGCTTTGGGAAACCACTTATGCATTGTGTGTTTGAGGAGTCATTCCATTTCTCATTCCCTGCCTATCGAACCAGCAAGAATACCTGGTCACAGCCCTCAAAAGCCGAGCACCTTGTTTTGAATACCGGGGGAGTTTGACAGGGAATATATGGATTTGTCTCCAAAAATGTGGGACCCCGAAATGGAGTGATTGGTTTACTTTTCTTTTAGTGACCCTTGAAAAAAAGGATTTCCTCCAATGGGTTAGGGATTTGAAATTGGCACGGTTTCATTTGAAACCGCCACAAAGGATACTCTCAGAGAAAGATGCACCGGAATCCGGCCAAACATGACCGAAGATGGCAGAATCCAAGCCCGTACGTGCAAAAAGGCGACCCGGGGAACCAAAGTTCGTTCACTTTTGCGTCACCTGAACTTCCGGCTGGCTGTTAACACCGGATGAATTTTGCTTGGTAGGCAAGAGGCTCATGCCAAAGCCAGTGATTCCATGGCAAGGGAATCGACCGTTACGACCTTAACGGAAGATTGATGTGTAGCTGTTCTAGTGAGGACTGGGATCCGTCGGGAAGAGTTTGTTTGACATACTATCTCGGAAACCTCCTTGACTGTCCGGTTGGTTGCCCCAAAAGAAGCGCCCCCAGGCATATGTCCAACTTCTTAAATTCTTGTCTGCATGTCTCTCTTGAGGTGATTGAAGCCCGCTACCCTCCCACCCTTTTCACATGGAACCTGATGTTCGGGACCAAAAGGTCCCTTCAAAAGGACAACGGCCTTCCAGGACCGTCAGAAAACGTCTGTTTCCAAACAAAAAAGGGTGGAAACTGACTATAAGTCACCAACATTTCCCAACTAAGGTGGCATCCCAATGTCCAAACGCCCGGAACCCAACCAAAGCCCGAACTCCCCGCCTGTCGATCGATTCCCGACTTACGTCTAATCACCCCGATTCCAAGCGAAATGCGCCTTGCCGAACATGCGATGTGTAAAGCCACCACGTGGTGACAAACAACACAGAGTTTCAATCAGAGGACATCAAGGGACTCCTGTTGGTAGGAAATATTGGACTTGATTGCAAAACTTATACAAAACATTACAATGAGGTCCCTTGACAGGATTTGTTCTTGGGGTCCCTTGGCAGGATTCTTTCTAGAGCCTATTTTCTACCTACAAATCCTGTCATGATTTAACTCATGGACCCCTGGATGAATTCCAACACCAAAACAAAAAAATCTAAGGACCCGGGTCCGAGAATGGAAATTGGAACAAAGTTCCAAAAAGAACACGCGATGAAGTCCAAAACAAAGGAAGAAATCCAGACCCTCTTTTGGCGGGGCTCGCTCGTTTCCCCTGAAAAAACATCACCCCCAACGGATACTCACCTTTCATGGGCCAAAAGGCTGATGTTTAAAAATCACCAAGAAGAGAAATATAGAAGTATTGTGCGGGCGTTTGCGTCCAAAAAGAGGTCAGTGCCGAGAACTACTCGGAATTCCTTGACGTGTGAATCTCCAGGAAAAAACAGAATCACAATCAAAACCTGGTATTAAAATTGTCTTCCCAGAGCCATGCTTCAAGAATTAAGAAAGGCGGAATTCCGCAACTATTTCTGGCAAGGGAATTTTACTAACCTTCATCTACCCGAATGGGTTTTGAGCGCGTGGCTCTACTTTGGTGAGAAAAACCTGCACCCGAATTCCTTTTTGAATCTCCAGGAGCAAAAAAAACCAAAGGGACCTCTACTTTGGTGGGGAAAAACCTGCACCCGAATTCCTTTTTGAATCTCCAGGAGAAAAAAAGACCAAAGGGACCTCTACTTTGGTGGGGAAACACCTGCACCCGAATTCCTTTTTGAATCTCCAGGAGAAAAAACACCAAAGGGACCTCTGCTTTGCTGGGGTCCAAACCTGTACCCGAATTCCTTCTTGAATCTCCAGGAGAAAAAAAACCAAAGGGACCTCTGCTTTGGTGGGCAAAAAAACCTGCACCCGAATTCCTTGTTGAATCTCCAGGAGAACAAAAAAACAAAGGGACCTCTGCTTTGCTGGGGTCCAAACCTGTACCCGAATTCCTTTTTGAATCTCCAGGAGAAAAATACCAAAGGGACCTCTGCTTTGCTGGGGTCCAAACCTGTACCCGAATTCCTTTTTGAATCTCCAGGAGAAAAAAAACCAAAGGGACCTCTGCTTTGCTGGGGTCCAAACCTGTACCCGAATTCCTTTTTGAATCTCCAGGAGAAAAAAAACCAAAGGGACCTCTGCTTTGCTGGGGTCCAAACCTGTACCCGAATTCCTTTTTGAATCTCCAGGAGAAAAAAACCAAAGGGACCTCTGCTTTGCTGGGGTCCAAACCTGTACCCGAATTCCTTTTTGAATCTCCAGGAGAAAAAAAACCAAAGGGACCTCTGCTTTGCTGGGGTCCAAACCTGTACCCGAATTCCTTTTTGAATCTCCAGGAGAAAAAAAACCAAAGGGACCTCTGCTTTGCTGGGGTCCAAACCTGTACCCGAATTCCTTTTTGAATCTCCAGGAGAAAAAAAGACCAAAGGGACCTCTGCTTTGCTGGGGTCCAAACCTGTACCCGAATTCCTTTTTGAATCTCCAGGAGAAAAAAACCAAAGGGACCTCTGCTTTGCTGGGGTCCAAACCTGTACCCGAATTCCTTTGAATCTCCAGGAGAAAAAAAGACCAAAGGGACCTCTGCTTTGCTGGGGTCCAAACCTGTACCCGAATTCCTTTTTGAATCTCCAGGAGAAAAAAAGACCAAAGGGACCTCTGCTTTGCTGGGGTCCAGACCTGTACCCGAATTCCTTTTTGAATCTCCAGGAGAAAAAACAACAAAGGGACCTCTGCTTTGCTGGGGTCCAAACCTGTACCCGAATTCCTTGTTGAATCTCCAGGAGAAAAAAAGACCAAAGGGACCTCTGCTTTGCTGGGGTCCAAACCTGTACCCGAATTCCTTTTTGATTCTCCAGGAGAAAAAAAACCAAAGGGACCTCAGCTTTGCTGGGGTCCAAACCTGTACCCGAATTCCTTTTTGAATCTCCAGGAGAAGAAAAACCAAAGGGACCTCTGCTTTGCTGGGGTCCAAACCTGTACCCGAATTCTTTTTTGAATCTCCAGGAGAAAAAAACCAAAGGGACCTCTGCTTTGCTGGGGTCCAAACCTGTACCCGAATTCCTTTTTGAATCTCCAGGAGAAAAAAAAAAAACAAAGGGACCCCCGCCTTGGTGGGGCGACCTTCCGAATGGAGATCTTTGCTTTCCAAGGGGCTCCTCGCTGCGCAACGCCGTGCGCAGCTTCAAGAGGTCCCGGGGGAAGGTCGCGTTGGCCGCGCCCCCATCCAACTCCTGACGCCTTCGATCCGCGGAGTTGTCAAGCTCCACAAGGGCGGATTTGGGGGGGGGAGGGGGTGGGGAAAACACCTGGATAGACCAAGCAGAAGTGAAGAGAAGCTAAAGTCGAACAAGGGCTGCCTTCGGTGAGATAACCCCCCCCCCGGCCCTCCGAGGTCCATTTTGCTGGGTTTGACCACCCGGGCTCCACCCGCGCGATGCCTCAAGCGCTGGAAGGCGCTCAAGTCCAGGCTCGGGCAATCAACCATCGTGCTGGTACGGCGACCTGACGCAAACTCCGAATATGATGTTCGCCCATTGACCATGCGGATACAAATATGCATATGAACTTGAAATCAGAATGGCACGTCACGTGCATGTAACCACACGCATATATATATATATATATATGCGAGTTTGTACCATATAATTAGCGTGCATTATGTATATATATATATATATATGCATGTATACAAACATATATATATATATACCAACAAAGCCCGGACGACCTGCGAACGGAAGTTTCAACAGGGGAAGGCGCCTCTAGCAAAGCACGGCAAGTTGCGCTCAGACACCCGCATTCTGTCATCCCGCCCGTCCCTCTGCTTCTTTGCCGTGTGAAGATTTCAGTGCGCAAAGGGTTCGTTTGTTGGCGCCTTGCCCCCCCCAATGCGTCCGATTCTTAGCAGATCCCAAGCGCATTCGCTTTCGAGGTGGCAACCACCGCAGCTCACAAACTGGCGCACCTACCACCAAATCTGCTCCCAACATCTGGCCTTGAGGTCAGCCAACCGAAAGTGCGCAGAGGGCTCACTTTCTTAAAAGATGTTTGCTCTGCGATGTCTGCGCCCTGCCCTGCCTTTGCTTTGGTGTGTCTTTGTTCTGCACCGCCTTTGCTTGACTCTGTGTTGCCTGGCTATGCCTTTGGTTGGCCTTGTCTCACTTGGCTATATGTATTGGCTTGGCCGTGTCTTTTCTTTGCTACGTCTCTGCTCCGCTACGTCATTGGCGGAAAGAGGCTTTGGATTTGGGACTCTATACATTGCAGCCTGGCAGTCAAGGAGCAGGTATTAAGTTGATCAGAAACAATAACCTCGCACTTTGGCTTGGAAGCCTCATCAAAGGGAACCCGTACAACGTCCAACACACACACACACACACTAAACAAAAAGATGATCATCCCTGTTAGCCAATATATCGTTCCTAGTTTGGAACGATAAAGTGGGTCCGGCTCCCTGTTGGGTTTCCTAGATGTGCTCAGTCCCCGGGCCTGCTGGAACCTTCTTCTGAAGGCTGGAGGTGGAGGAGTTGTTCGTCCTGAGGGAGGTGTTCGTCCTCAGGCGACTGATTGGCAGAATCGGACAAGATATGTTTACAGGAGGCTGACCAAATACACACCAAAACCACGTGTTTTTAGGGATAATTTCCGGTCGCGACCTTTCACAGCGGGCAGGGCCCGTGATTTCAGGCGCAAACTCACCCTACACCGGTGGCTTCCTTTCCATACTGCCCAAAAACTGCTCTCCCTCAAAGAAAATAAAGGCAGGGCCAACAAAAGGTTCAGTCAAGTCCAAGCATGGCACGGCCGATCATGCTTTGAAAATTTGCGTTTCCCCAAAAAACCGGTCCAGCAGGGCTCGTCTCTTGGAGAAATCCTTTTGTGCCAAGGCCCCGACAGCTGCGTCATTGTCCTAAGCCGAACGAATGGGGGGCAACACAACCACCATGTACCTAAGGAGTTTCATCTCCAAATTGGGTCAACCATTCTTAATGGGGGTTGCACCCTACAACCAATGTTGGCCAGTATACTGTGGGTGGACCAAATCCGTTCGCATCACGTTGAAACAATGCGAAACCATGAGTTGTTGGTATTTACGTTGGGGAATCGAATCGTTCCCTTGGGTTTCCGAACGCACAGAAAGATGCTTCCGGGTAGCGTAACTCTGGCCACGCGGAGCAACCATGTTGGGGGTTGCCCTCTTTGAGTATGCGGCAAAAAATCGGGATATGAACCCTCTCTTTGAAGCCCCAAGCATACCCCCCTCGGTGCCCTTGGCCTCGGAAACAGGCGGAAACACCGAGCTTGGTTCGGCGAGTTCGCAACCATCCAATCCAAGCCACCCATCCAAACCACGATTGTGGGTTGCCTCAGCATCCTCAACATTGCCGAGGCTTTTCATATCACTCCAAACGCAAGCGCAGCTAGTTGTTGACGTGGTGTCTGCAAGAAATCTCCACCCAAAACCCATTGACTGTTGGTTTGGACCAAATGGTTTGTTCTTGAGTTGAAAGGGAACCCAAAGAGCAAATCAAAATCCATTTTGGGGGTCCTTGACATAAACCTAGGGGAACTTTGATGGAAACCACCGGGACCCAAAAGTGAATTTGGTGACCCCTCAAAATGCAACCCCCGGTTGCCAGAATTCAGCGAGCTGGCCAACAATTGTTGGATTGGCTTCTCTTGTCCTCACTTAAAATGGTCTTCCCAAATTTGTCAGACTAGGATGCCTTTTTGCTTCGTCAAAGTACATGGGTGTATATTTTAGTGGACCCCCAAAATGCGTGGGTCCTTCATTGTAGTTTCCACTTTACCACCAACACAGGGTACCAACTCGAAACAAGACGATCCACCCACGGTTTGAAAGGCTACGCCATCCTTGTGCCAAAGTCCCAACAATTTACGAGGTGCTCCTCGGCAATCGTTTGTTGTTCGCTCTTCGCGCTTGATGTGTGCTCCCATAATGATCTCTGTTGCTTTGACGCCAAATTAAGCCATGGTCATAGTAAGATGTTTACCTACTGCAATTTCTAGATTCTACGTAGATTCTAGGGGGTAGTTTGAACAACCGGGCTTTCAATGGAAAGTACCTCAGATGCCCACTGGCCACGGGAAAAAAAAGGCATCCTTATTTGGCTGGTTGACTTCAAAGGGGAACCCTTCCCCAAAAAAAGTTGAACAAAGGAAGCACCACTGGGCAACTGGGGTACGCCCTTGGGACAGTTGACCGGGCGTAATCGTCTCGTGAATGCGAGTTGAACGGGTTTTTTTCTGACACCGGCCGAGCGACGTCTGCGGCGACTCTGGTACATAGCCCTTGACAACCACGTAGACCAATGACTGGGCACAGCGAGCTCTGGAATTGGGTGAGCCATGGACCCCTAGCGTCTTAAAACCAACAAGTTGCAAACAAAGGGTTTTGGCATGGATGGCCGGGGTATATCAATGAAACGAGGCCAAACTAACCAGCGCTATCTATGTCTAACCAAACAAACCTAAAAAGCACACCTAGGGTTGCAAAAAGAAACCCAAAAAAATCGGGCTCTAAATTGGCCCTCGCTAATTCGACCAGTTTTTTTCAGCCCTTGTGTTGCTAAACAAAATCAGCCAGAACGCGTTCGCCAACAGCCAAACGTGTCAAAACTCCTATGGCTTATGGGCACGGGTCCCATACTATGAATGATTATCATGATTGTCAACGAGCCCTCTTTGACAAGGTCTATCAGCAAGTAAAGAGGTGTTTGGAACATGGCACACTAGGAGCAAGCACCTAAATCAACAGAAACAGTGCTCTCGCCCTTAGTCTCTGAGCGGAGCCTTCTTTCAAAGCTTCACATTGTTCGTGGCGCAAATCATTGAGGTAAATATATACACCCCTTGAGGCGATGGAGTAGCACGACGCTACGACAGTATAAGACCTGGTCGGGCCACCCAAGTTGCGGCTCAGATCCCCACCAAATACCGCCGGTACTGACGCCGTGGAGAAAACCACAAGTCCGGCTATGCAACCCTTGGAGACCAAAGTGGGATTCTGATGGCTACTTGGCTGTGGGTCAAAAAGCCGGTATCAAAAAACTGGTGAGTGGAAACACGGACCAAAACCTACGGTTTGCCCCTCCTGTTTGGTTTTAACCACACCCATTTTCGGTACCTCACATCAAAACCTTTAAACCAAACCACTGTTCATGTGCGGGTCTTTCGGCACATTGCGGTAAGTATACACAACCCTTGGATATTGCTACTTCATCACTTTAGCACCCGAAGACCCCATGGCTTGCTTCTGGTTTCCCTTTCAGAGCTCCGAATCCCCTCCCGCTCCGCTCATCGCGCCTGCAGATCCTCCAGTTCGTAGTCTGGGTGGTAGGTCTTCAAAACATGCAGCAAGGTCCTTGGCCGGAAGATGCTCCGCTTGTTTGCGAGTGTTCTCCGTTTGTTGATGTGTACTGCTTGCTTTTCGTGTGTATTGCTTGTTATTGTGTGTATTGCTTGTTTTGTTTGAGTGTATTGCTGTTTTGTGTGTGTATTGTTTGTGCTTTTGTGTGTGTGTATTGCTGTTTTTGTGTATTGCTGGTTTTGTTTCTATTTGTTCGTTTGTTTGGTCGTGTGTTTGTTTGTTTGATTGATTGTTTTGTTATTGTTCTGCTCTGTTTGGTTGATTGTTTTTGTTTGTTTCATTGCTTTGTTATTCGTCTGTTTTGTTTGTTTGTTTGTTTGTTTGGTTGTTTGATTGTTTTATTGTTTGTTTGTTTGTTTGTTTGTTTGTTTGTTGTTTGATTGATTGTTTTGTTATTCTTCTGCTTTGTTTGGTTGATTGTTTGTTTCTTTGCTTGATTGGTTGTTTGTGCGTTCGATCGTTTTGTTATTTTTATGTTTTGTTTGGTTGTTTGTGTTTGATTCATTGATTGTTTTGCTAGTCTTATGTTTTGTTTGTTTGTTTGTCTTTTGTTCGTTGTGTTCGTTGTGTGTTTGTGTGTTTGTGTGTGTGTGTGTGTGTGTGTTTGTGTGTTTGCGTGTTTGTATTTTTGTGTGTGTTTGTTTGTTTGTTTGTTTGTTTGCTTGTTTGATTGTTTGTTTGTTTGTTTGTTTGTTTGTCTGTCTGGTTATTTGTCTGTTTGTTTGATTGTCTTTGTTTGTTTGTTTGTTTGTTTGCTTGTTTGCTTGATTGATGGTATTTTTTGTGTGTTTGTCTGTCTGTTTGTTTGTTTGTTTGTTTGCTTGATTGTTTGCTTTTTGTATTCTTAGTTGTTTGTTTGCCTTTTTTATTGTTTGTTTGTTTGTTTTTGTTTGTTTTCTTGTTTGTGTTGTATTTCTGTTTGTTTGTTTGCCTGCCTGCTTGCCTGTGGCAGTCGCAGCGGTGGCAGTGGTGGAGTAGCGGCGGTGGCAGCGACGATGGCAGTGGTGGCGGTGGCAATGGCGGTGGTGGCAGTGGTGGCGGCGGCGGTGGTGGTGGGGGGCAGTGGTGGTGGTGGTGGTGGTGGTGGTGGTGGCGGTGGCGGTGGCGGCGGTGACGGCGGAAGTGGTTCTCATGTATGTGCCCATTATGTTTTTTGTGTGACCCTTCTTTCTGGGAGGCTTCAGTGTTACACCAACAAGCCATGCGCGGCACCTATTTATAGTTGGGGGTAACCCCTACTAATCTTCATCCACCTGGATTTTGAGCAAGTGGCTCATTTGATGAGCCGGCTTTGCCCAAGGTAGCTGTAGCCTTCTGAAGGCCCACATCAAAAGCTCTCTGAAATTTTACGGAGGTCAAGAAGCCACAAACTTCAACTGAGCCATGCCTCCAACTTCTTCCAGCCAAAACAGAAACGCGACAAGCCACAGATTTCCCTAGGTTGTCTGTCGACGCTGCTAGCACCATGAAATGATGAAAGCTTTTCTCGCACATCCCAAGCTGGCAAATGGGACAAGCCAACAGTCCAGCCGGCCTCAAACTTGGTTGACGTTGAAAGGGGAGCAACAATTCTAAAATTTTAGCAGCCAAGTGGATTTGGAGTTCAACCACTAAACCACAATAAGCAAAAATGTAAAATGTTTCCCAACAACAACCGAGCAAAGCACCGTCAAAGCTGTTTAAAACAGTGCCCTTACCCTGAAGCCCTTTCCCGCCCTGGGATCAAGGCTCGCCCCCCAATTTTACCCCCCCCTTCCCGGTTTGGGGAATTGGGCTCGAACACATACCTCCATTTGCGTTTTGGCCCCCTGGAAAAAATAAAAATATTTCCAGTAGTGATGGATTCCCTTTAACACCAACAGGGGAAAATAAAAATATATTCTTAGCCAAATGGAAGAATAGACTCCTTGCGAACGCGACACACACGCACACACATCATGGTCCTGTGTAAACGACCGGAACCCGTTTGGAACTTTCGCGGGTCCCCTGAAATCTTCAGTCACGGCCCCGCCCTCGCCCCTGCCTTCCCCTCCCCAAAAAGAAAAAAGAAGAAAAACAAAACAAAAAACAAAAAACAGACGCCAGCACCGCCACATGCACGAAACCATGGCATTTGCAGTGTTTGCCGAGCTTTACAATACTAAAACTACATCCCAGGGAGCACCCCTTCTGAAAAAAAAGGAGGACCAGCTCTCCCACGCGAGAAAAAAAGGCAGCCCCCCCCCAAAAAAAAACAAAAACAAAGAAAAACAGAGAAAAAAGGAGAACGAAGAAGGAACACCCCTCCAAAAAAAACAAAAAACCGTTCTCCCACACGTGGAACAAGGAACTCGTGCTCCAAGCCGCTCCGAAGGAAGTGTTCCAGTCTGCTGATCCTTCAGACGATCGAACCTGAGCTATCGGATCCGCGAAAGCAAAGCCGAAATCCGGCAAAGACCAGGTCCTCCAGATTTGAGAGGTTAGAAAAAAGGTACCATTTTTTCGGTTTTGTCTATATTAGGGGAACCCTCCCAACCAAGAAAGGGGTGAGAAAGGGCACCTTGCTGGAGGACCCGGCAACATCGATGGATCAGCCTCTGACGCTCTCTGTGGCCGCAGATGGGGCGGTGATTTTTTGGAGGGTACCTTTTCCAAATTTGTTCGGGCTGAGTAAAAGAGAAACCAACATTGAAAACCGATGCCATTTGTGCATTGGTTCCCCCGACTTCACGTCCCTAAAAAACATCACCTGCAAAGGTTTTCTGGGCTCACCGAAAGTGGCAACCAAATGGGAACCCGAATCATTTATCAGGACTCATGGTTGATTTTGATTCGGTGGTGTCCCCGAATGAAACAAACATGAAGGGAACACACATCCATCGTCCCACACAAAATGAAGACGGGTTCCTGAAATCCCCCCCAAAAAAAAGGCGCAAAGACTCCACAGACCAGGGCGCATGCAGCACTTCCTCGGCATTCTTTGGTTCCCCGAGCTGGCGTTTTGGGTGGCACCCCCAGGGACTTGGCCCAAGTTGGTCTTCAGGGTGTCCCCACAGGAGTTCCCTGGGAAAAATGGGGAAGCTCTTCTCCCACTCTCAGAAGCATTTGGACCCAACATAGTCCGTTGGCGTCAAGGGAGCCGGTTGAAAGCGCGGCGCCGGACAACAAAGAAAAAAAAACACGGCCACGCTGGTCGAGTCAAAACCCGCCGCGGCCTTACGAATTGCTTTCGCCGAGGAACCTCGGTTGCTTTCCGCTCCCTGCTAAAAGTTGTGTTTGTTTCCTTTTTTCCTTTTAGTGGTTTAATACGGAAACCTTTTTTTCAAAAAGTTCTCAAGTCCCAACCTCCCTTGGCAAAATGCACCAAAGACATTTAGCCCCTCATAGTACGCCGCCTTTGCGGCAAGGTCCCGCCCCCCCCCAAAAAAATACATAAAATGGCACTTCTAGCCTGAAAATTATTTTGAACAAGTATAGACACATTATAATAAATTACCTTATTCATTTACAATAAAACCCCTCAATATTACATAAGGTTAATACATCATTATCATCTATTAACCTTATCTAATTTACCAATCATTGTTCCTCAGCTTGTATCTTTCCTAAATTATGTTGATGCTTTGTTGTTTTAAGATGTCTTCCAAAATGCCCTTGACTTATTGAACAATTGCAAACATCACAACTAACAATATATTTATTTCTCCTATAAGTCCTTTCCAGTTTCTTTTTTCTATACTCCTCATCGTTTTCATATCTAATTCTTTGTTCCTCGTTCATTCTCTCCCTATGTCTATTTTGATAGTCTCTTTGAGCTTTTAAACACTTATCACATCGCATATTATCACCACTGAAACTTTCCTTAGACTTATCATTTTTACACTTTGAACACTTTTTCACTGCTTCCATCCTTATCATAGAACTACCGTATTTCTTTAAAGGCGTTTCCACGACTAAGAAAGAGACAAGCAAATCAAGGAAAAATAAAATATTTCAATCTTTACAAACTATAAGTACAGTATAATTATAACATATAAGATTTTACATGTTATTATTATAGTATGATTATAATTTCAGTTCAGGATAATAATTTAATTGACAAATCTTTCTTCTTTCATACATCATTTTAAAAATAATATTAACATCTCTCACTGTATTCTGAACATTAAACTTTTTACTTTCAATAAATAATTTGATATTTTCTTTAACATCTTCTCCTTTCTCTTGACTATAACACAACAACCATAATATATCATCCATCATTTCATATTTTTCTTACTAATTTTAAGAAACTGTTTAACATAATCATAAGGTGGTATTTTATTTACAGTTAGAAATATTAAAATCTCATCTTCTACATTTCTATTATTTATTCTTTTTATTCCCAACAGACATTTGATTAAAAATTGATTATCTCTCCAAGTTTTACAATTTTCACATTCGACTTTTTCATCCATTGAATAATTAATAATATTATTCACTATTTCATTAGGTAAATTTAATTTATACAATTCCATATTTTCTTTTTTGAAGTGACAACAATCATAGCATTTTTTATTGATATAATTATTGATTTTATCACCGTTCATTTTCCTCTTATTATATTAAGGTTTTAAATCTTTAAGTATATTTTCTAAAAAGTCACTTAAAGAAATAAACACATTAAATTTATATAGTATAGTATTATGAAACATGTTATAGATTATCTGTTGAATAATGATAAAGCGGAAATATCAAAAAGAGGAAACAAGGAATTAAAATCAATAATTATAGATGGTAGAAAATTTAGATACAACAAAGAAAAACCCATCTCAAATGTATTGAACAAGAAATTAAAATCAGAAGCAAGAACTAATGAGTATAATAGCTATGCAACAAAAACATTGCGCTCAACATACCTAAAACAAAGAATGAAAAATGCAATGACAAAATATGCAATCAAAAATAAATTCCAAGTAACAGACCAACAATCAGCTTTCAAAAGTTATGCTAATTCTATAAAACTAGTAAATAAACATTTTCAAGGTGAAAAGGCACTATCAATGATACACCACCAAAAAGATAGACTTTTGACCTTTTTGAAAACTAATAGAGCTATGAAACTGAATATAAGGGCAGAAGGTTTATTTTATCATTATTATGATGATGATGGAGTAATAAAACATACAGAGATACTTTATAATTTACCTGCTACAAGGTCAAACATTTATAATGAAACCGATTTGGATGAAGCAATTGAAAAATCAATCAAAGAGATTTTATTGAACATAGAAAAGTTAGAAGGTTCAGCATCTAATTTACAATTTAAAAAAATATTATCAATAACAATCCATTATGACAAATATGACCCAACTAGGGCGGGTAGTTATATAGATTTACCAGAATGGATTAAACTAAAAAAGGCATGTATTAATATCAAAAACAAAGATAACAAATGTTTTAAATATAGTGTTCAAAGTGTAGTGTTTGATATAATTAATAAATCAAATTCCCAAGAAATGTTCCATTACAACAAATTAAATGACAATATCTTAAACTGGGAAGGTGTTAAATTTCCAACTGGTAATAAAGATATTGAAAGGTTTGAAGAAAATAATAGTAAGTTAGTTTCAATCAATGTTTATGAAATTGATGATACTTTGAATGAAAAGAAAATTATAATTGATTACAGAACTAAAACAAGAGATGCTAAACATCAAATAAACCTTTTGAAAATTGAAATCAATAATAATAATCATTATGTAGTTATTAAAAGTCTAAGTCGTTTAATGAACTGGCAAACAAACAAAAATGACCAACCAAAACATTATTGTCATTATTGTTCTCATGCCTTTACTAGAAAGGATTTATTAACAAAACATTATGAAACTGGTTGTATGGCAACACATGGACAACAGTTTAAATTACCAAAAGAAGGTAGTTATATTGAATTTGAAAAATACAATACAAAATTAAAATGTCCATTTGTTGTTTATGGAGATTTTGAGTGTATAACTGTAAATTCAAATAATGGCATCAAGGGCACGTATCAGGAACATAAACCATGCGGTTATATGTTGAATGTTGTAAATTCTATTGATAATACAAGTCAACCTTTTTTATACCGTGGAGAGGATTGTTTAGACCACTTTGTAAATAAATTAAGAGAAATTAAAAAAGATATTTCTGATAAAATGAATGTTAATAAACCAATGGATATTACAGATGAACAAGAAGCAGAATTTAGAAAAGCTACTGTATGTTCAATATGTAATAAGAATTTTAAACCAGAAGATACAAAAGTCAGAGACCACTGTCATTTTACTGGTGAGTATAGAGGTTGTGCTCACGAAAAATGTAATTTGGATTA